TTCATTGAAAACATAACTATTATACCTCAATCTTTTGTGGACAACTCTGGAAATCGGCATGTTTATCCTGTATGTTTCTTATAAGAAACATGTTTTATAGAAGTAACCACTGTGACTACAACCACATATGGCAACATCAACTACATGTTGTGTTCAGAGGGACAATGAGTTCTAATAAAACAAACCACTCTCCACCATGGCCCCAAAAGTAACACTAGCTAAACAGCAGGACAAAGAAAGACTAACTGTTAAAAAAAAATAAAAAATAAATTAAAAAAAAAAAAAACTAGTAATATGTCACTCAAGAATATTTACCTTTTAATCTTGGCATATTCTAAAGGTAGAAATGTGTTTCAGTAGAAAGACAACAAGATGTAGAAAAAAGGACAGAGAACTTCAAGTATAAAGAGGAGTTTTGGTCTCAACTCTGCCACTTACTATTTAAGCAAACTGGGATAGTCCCAGGCAACTTTTCTTCATTTTTAAATGGGGAAATTAATAAAGTCAAATGGATAGGGAAGTTTTGTAAACAATAATGCATTATAAAAGTGTTATAATTCACTTGACTTTCAGAATATATCAACAAAGAATAATGAAAAAAACCTGGCCCTTCTTCTCAGGCAGCTTCAAAATTTTAATACAGTTGTCAAGAATTTTCTTCTTTACTACTTATGTGCCATAAGCAAGTCTAAAAACTATGGCCAATAGTCTAAAGATTCAACATTTTATAAAATATCAATATTCCTTAGACAATTTTTGTTGTAACTTACATTTACATTTTTAAAAGAGGAAAAGGAGAATTATAACATACCAAGTGGGCCAAAAGTTATACTGAAGTTAAACCTAACAAGTGACAAATCAAAAATGAAGAGACACAGTATACAAAAGTGTAAAAATCTAAAACTGATAGTCTTCCGTTGCCAAAATCAACAATGCTGAACAAGCCCAAGAATAATTTGTTAAACGTGTGTGAGAACTGTTTGACAATTTTATGTCATCACTTGCCTTATAAAGGATTGAGATCCTGCTGCAATTATATACAGTCCTCTCCACACAAACAAAAGGTAGAAATGAAGTAATTAATTAAAAACCAAACATGATTAATTTCACATGACAAAGTATTTTCAGTTATAGTAAACATCATACTAATAAAAACTCACTAGTTAAATTCAATCTTATATAGGGAAGACCATTTCAAAAAATTACAAGGTTTTTCCTTGTTTTTTTAAGTCAATTTGAAAAGAACATAGTAAATGGATAAAAAGAAAACCCCCCAAAAATAAGCATTGCCTTTACAGGCTTAAAAATACCAAAGGTGAATACTCTTACTTATCATTTTAATATAAGACAAAAATTCTCAAAAGCCCATTTTTCTTTGAGTCTCAAATAAATTTGCTTAAAGAAATACTATAAATCCGGGAGAAAATATCAGACTTTCTTAAACAAATAAAACTCAGCAGAAAGCAAGTATAAAAATTAGTTCACAATGGATCTGAATTTTTAATTTTTTCAATTAAAATAAAATGGCTGATTTATTATGTGGCTACATGAATCATTCAAGAGTCTCCACATCTTCCTTCTCCTATTTCTTTGGAATACTATTTATGTATGCCACACAATAAAGAATATTAATGCCATTTACTTTACTTTCTAATATCATGACTTAAAACTGCAAAATCTACAGGTAATTACCGTTTTTTATATATATTACTCATGTGCCTGGCACATAAATGTTAGTTACTATTCCTAACTCAAATGATTCCATTAAATGCTATTATTTCTAAGAGCTATAACATTACCATCTGAATTATCAAAATGCCTTGCTTCATTTAAAATGCTAAAAGACAAATGTATACATGAGAATAAGTGACTAGAAGAGGAAAAAAAGCATCCTCTAACATACAACAGACGCCTCTTATTTGATGTGATGGATATTGGTAATGATTAGTGTAATGGAATGACTTGTGTTCTACCCTAAAATTCATATGTTGAGGCCCTAACTCTCAATATGACTGTATTTGGAGATGGGGCCTTTAAGGAGGTAATTATGAGTAAATGAAGTCATAAAGGTGGGTCCTTAATCCAAGAGAACTGGCATTTTTTTTTTTTTTTTTTTTTTAAGACCGAGTCTTGCACTGTTGCTTGGACTAGAGTACAACGCATGATCTTGGCTCATTGCAACCTCTGCCTCCCTGGGTTCAAGCAACTCTCCTGCCTCACCTTCCTGAGTAGCTAGTAATACAGGTGCCCGCCACCATGCCCAGCTAATTTCTTGTAGTTTTGGTAGAGACGGCGTTTCACTATGTTGGCCAGGCTGGTCTTGAACTCCCGACCTGGTGATCCACCCGCGTCTGCCTCCCAAAGTACTAGGACTAGAGGCAAGAACTGTCATTCTTTTAAGAAGAGAAAGACAGACGGATGAGGCTGAAGGATGGCTTGAGCCCAGGAGTTTGAGGTTACAGTGAGGTATAATAATGCCACTATATTCTCGCCTGGGTGGCAAAGTAAGGCACTGCCTAAATCTAAAACTAAAAGAGAGGAAGAGACACCAGAAGTGCAGATGTACAAAGGAAAGGACCTGTGAGGACAGCAAGAGAGTGGAAACCTGCAAGAAACCAAGTCTGCTGACACCTTAATCTTGAATTTCTAGCCTCCATAACTGTGAAAAAAAAAAAAAAAAATTTCTGTTAAGTTGCCCAGTCTGTGGTATTTGGTTATGGCAGCCCAAGCACACTAATACAGTTAGTTAATTGGTAAAAGTAAATAAAAGCAGGAAGAAATTAAAATGCTTTGTAAACACATTAAACTTATTTTAACTTAAAAAACCGATATTCATTTGTATATACTCATACAGAATCAAGACCTATAAAGAATTCTAGTTTGGTCTTCTATAAAATGATGCAAGAACCTACAAAGCAATCTGGATGCAAAAACCTAGATTGCAATTACTTTTTTTCCAATCCATTCTCAATTCAAGTCTTTTTTAAGGAACTCACTTTGTTCTTTCTAAAGCATTCAACTTAGTTTTTGTAGAAATTACAACTTTATTCTTACATAAATATTTCACTAGTCTAACTAGTATTTAAGTAGATTACATAATTACCATAACAAATATAACTGGCATAAACAGCTCTGAGAACACCACAAGAGAGTCTTGTTAAACAGATAATTCAGCTGATAGATGCAGAAGTAAGTAGTGTATATAAATATAGTAGAGATCAGGCAACTCACCAGCTGAAAGTATTCAACATATAACATATTATTGCATCAGGCAGTGTGTTTTAAAGAAAGAATGGCCAGTATTGGTTTATCAACAGAGTTTGACATGGATGTTAGATAAGAGGGCTTCTACTGTATATCTAAATAAATATTAGTCATTTTAAATTTTCATTCTGGAAGGCTGTAATGATGCCAAACAATTTGGAAACCATTTGTAGAATTTCTGGATCTGCAATGTTTTAAATGTTTAACGGCAAATCATCATCTTTGAAACAGAATCAGATTTCCAAAAACAATTTTAAATTATTAGTCTGGTATAAAATATGAGCAGCAAATACCAGTAAAATCATTTGAAGAAAAGCAAGGTGTTACTATAAAGCAAAATAACTGATTAATATAAAAATACTTCTTTAGAGACAAATCTAAAAGGTAAGTTTCAAGAAGATGCTGAAAAATTATGACAGAAATAGATGAGTACAAAGATTCCACTCCAAGGATATAATCTGAATAGAAACTTCTAGTATTTTTGTTTTAAAAATGACTGCCATACATTTTCATTTTAATTACACCACATATACCTAAATATCCATGTTTATACGTATGTACATATATAACCATATATATTCATATATATATACACACACACACATAGTAGACACCAATCAACTACTAATATAGATGTATAGGTTAGCTTTCTTAAAAGCCCTGATACTGGAGCCTGATTGCAGATGACAGTTTATGTCACACTGACAATTCTGAACATTATTCAGTAATAAAAAAAGATTTTTGCATAAGGTGGTGATGTAATGAATTCAGTGTTTTAGGAAGATTCATTTAACATATAAACTAGAGGTATGAAGGAGATCATTTAGGAGACTGAACTTAAGCCAGGTGTATGGTAATAAGGGTCTAAATTAGAGATAGCAAATAGAAATAAAAAGGACATAAAAATGATATAAAATAATATATGCAAAAGGTACTGTGCAAATATTAGTTTTCATTACTATGAAATAATCCATAAGATGGAAACAATATAAAAACAAATCAAACGCAGACTAGAGATGGGTATGAAATCTTTAGACACTACCACCTTTCTTCTGCTTACCCTAAAGGTCCAAAGCAAGAATGGGGGTCTTCCAAGTTTCCAGTGAATTTGAGAGAGATTTGGTTGTCAGTCGACGGAAGTACAGCCCAAAGAGCTTTTGTAGATTTAATTAAGCTCCATTATGAGGCACTATTCATGTCAATTCTGGTCTGGGCATGAAATAACAGATGTTTCGTTCCTTCTCAAGCTTAAAAAAATTTTGAATGCAAGAGAGAGAGAAAGAGAAAGAGAGACAGAATGTGTTGGACCCTAACAAACTGGGGACATTTACTTTCTCTCTTTTATAAAGCAACATATTCTCTTCATTAGAGTCTGAAATCAAGTAGGTTCTGCTTTTGGAGAAAAATGGTAAGTAGGACATTGCTAATTCGATAACAGTTGTTTAAGAATGTTGTTTTATAACTGAGTTAGCAATAAGGATGTCAAATAAAGCCTGAGAAGTGAGGGTCAACGTTTATTTGTACTGTACTCAGTGTCTATGTCTATATCCGACTCCTACCCTTCAATCCCAACCAGATGCCACAAATCTCTTCAACTTCTGCCTCTTGCTAAATTCATCTGTAATCTTTTAAATATCAAGGACTAAAATTTCCAAACTCAATCACAGGAAAACTATTTAGAAACAACTACTTTTGATTCTTTCAGAATTTATGCCAAAAATATTAAACCAATTTACCTCAAATTTCTTCACCTTTTCCATTGTGATCAAGCGCCTTGATGTGTGACTGGAAAGCTTCTGCTCGCAGTTGCTAATGAGTTTCAGGCAAGGGTGCCAAGGCACCATCTCTTCAGTGTATCTGCAGAAAGAGCAGCTGACTGTTAGGAACACTCACATGTGTGGCCCACAAAGAATCATAAGGATCACCCAGTGTGATGTGGGATGTCCTTCACTACATGATGTTTTTCCCACATATGCTAACTGTCCATATGATCCATAAACTACCTACAAACAAAGTATCTTAATTTTATCATATCTCAAAAATGCAGTTTAATTTTTTAACTATAGAGTAAGAGAGAAATATTTTAAGTACATTTTGTTGAAGAATGCCAAACATTCAAACCACAAAAGTACAAGCTGATTCCACCCTACAGAATTCCGTAAGAGAAGATGGACAAAAATACACTCAAAAACATCCCTTGACATTCATGAAGGGTTGATTCATCCGTAGATTTTTATAAATTCCCAAAGTATAAAATCTACTACAGCATATACTTTACTCTAAATGAAATACCTCTGTACAATTTTGTTAACATCTCGAGACCTCTATTAAGTTTGTAAATATAGAACTAAAGTTATTTGTAAAATTATTCAAATAAACTACAACTAAAATAGACACTACAGGTTACATCAATCTTCTGCTCATATGAACCAAAAAATAAAACGAAAACTATGCCAGTGAGTGGTGGAGACTGCTGCTGTACAGCACATGTCTTACATGGATGGAGATAATGACAATGTCTAGAAAGCAGGATGGTCAAGAGCAGGAGTTCAGAATCTGGCATCTGACAGGTTGCTAGCATCAATTTTGGCAAAAGAAATAGTAACAGAGGTGGGGAAATAGCTATGGAACAGAATGTGAAAGAACAGCAAGGGAGGGAGGGGACTCAACAGGCATGGGTACTTTTAAGAACACTGTGTTGCCAGTATTTATTTTTCCTTTGCAATTTTTATGCCTTTTTGGATGATACCTGCACACATTTATTAAACAGGTAATCTTAAAGGTCTGATCCAAAATAGGAAAAGTGCTGATTAGCTTTTCATGTAAAGGACCACAATCTCAGCTACCTGTTTTAATGCATCAATACTGTTTTCATCACCACTCTTTCATGAACTTTTCCAGGTCCCACTGACCTTCAACGAGCTATCCCTATTACCTAAACCATATGCTCAAACCCATCATCACCCACTTCCCAAGCATCATTCATAATGCACTTCAGTGGAAAAAATTTATTCTCAGTGGAAAGAATTATCTTGAAGTCATTCTCTTGACTTCTTCCTAAAGCTTTCCAGCAAGTAATGAGCACTTCAGATTTCACCTCTTCTAGTAATTCCTTAATGCTCACTGCATAGCCAGAAATGTTGTACTGACATCAAGTTTTGAATCTTTATGCAACACATTTATGACATGAAAGAATACATTTTTTTTTTCTTTTTCAGAGACAAGGTCTTGCTCTGTTGCCCAGGCTGGAGTGCAGTAGAAAGAATATATTCTACACCATAGTTGAGACTAAAATAAAAAGCACTAATGGAGGAAAAGATATAGCCTTGACCTTAAGCTTACAAACTGTAGGATATATAGATGCTGGAAACTGTGTGTCAAACTAAGTAATATACCCTTTTACAAAAGAAAAAAATCTTTTACTTCCTGGTAGACTGACTTAAAGTATTTTTATTAAAATGTCACTTAAATAAGTACAAGCATAAATTAGATACAAACTATTTATGTTTAAATCCTAACTATAAAATCCTGAAAGTAAATTTATAAATCAAATTCCAGAGTACAAAACCAATACAATTTTAATTAACATCTACGACATGAGTGGTGCTAAACTGCTGAACTAAGCGGCTGAATTTGGTTTAAAAGCAGAAAACCATGTTTACATGTTTTATATTATCTTTTTGACTCAATCTTAACTCATTTTTAGCCATTAATCTATTAATTAATTTATTATATTAATGAGCCAATCAGTTTAACAATATGCTCCCAAAGTACCATACTAAAAAGATTAAAAATAGCAGTTGAAACATTCTTCGGCTGGGGACAGTGGTTCTTGCCTGCAAGTCTAGCACTTTGGGAAGCCAAGGTGGGTGGATCACCTGGGGTCAGGAGTTCAACACCAGCCTGGCCAACATGGTGAAACCCCATCTCTGCTAAAAATACAAAATTAGCCCCAGGCATGGTAGTGCATGCCTGTAATCCCAGCTACTTGGGAGGCTTAGACAAGGGTCACTTGAACGTAAAAGGCGGAGGTTGTAGTGAGCCAAGATGGTGCCACTGTACTCTAGCCTGGGCAACAAAAGTAAAACTCTGTCTCAAAAAAAAAAAACTTCACTGTATATTTACCAATATATTTCATTTCAAAGGACTGTTGACAAATGGTTAAGCAGAAGGCATAAATCTGTATTTTGCCTGGACTATTATGACAGTACCAAATCCTATCTTAACTCCCTGTTTTTATTAACATCCCCCTACAATCCAAGTTATCTATTTAAAAACGAAATAATCCTTAATAGGCAAATCCACAGAGACTGACAAGTGGTTGTCAGAGGTAGGGGATGGTAATTGCTAATGCCTATGCGGTACTTCTGGGGCAGGGCTGGGGGGAGTATGAGGAAAATGTTCTGGAATTACCAAGTGATAATGATCACACAACTTTATGGATGAACTAAAAACCATGAAGCTGTATACATTAATAGGGTGAATTTCATGGTATACAAATTCTATTTCAATTTTTAAAAGTAATAATTGTGTACATAGGCCCTTAGATTTTCCGCAAATCAATTTTGACTGTCACTCATTTTCCTGTGAATCGTCATGCTTCAACTACTTTCCAAATGTCACTAGAATTTCAGCTCCCATTTGAGAAACAGATTTCGCATTGATTAAACATTTACTGAAAACAGCTTAGGAAATCACTTTTTCCTCTTTCCTAAGAGATGAAAAACATGTTCTCTTCACTGATTATAGCCACCACAAAGTTCATCTTAACTATGATCAAAATTTATCTCCAAGTCCTACTTTGGGGCACATTATTAGCTTCTTTCCCACCCTTTTAAAAATTTTTAATTGATGAATAATTGTATATATTTGGGGAGTACAATGTGATATTTTAATATAAGTATGTCGTCATGTTATCACTAACACTAGCAGTTAGATTTCTGTAAAGGTCACCTTTTATAAAGAAACGCTGTTTCCAATCACTTCGAGCGTTATCTATGTACAATGAAATCAGGTAAAGCTAAATGGTATGTGAAGCCTGGGCAAACAGCTACACTCACTCAGTAGCACACTGACTCCTATGACATCAAACACACATGGATTGTATGTGTACACATTGGACTGACACCCTGTACACATGATTGTAACACAGATAATCTGGGTCACTTCCAAATAGTCAAAGTTATAAATAATAAACTCACAAATGCCAACAGTCTACAGAAATTGTATGTGCTAAGTCTCTGTAAGTGGTAAAAACAAGCTACTATGAGAGCGCAGAGGAAGGACTGATTAATTCTGCTGAGACGTATCTGAGATGGTGTCACAGAAGTGTTGACAATTAAGCCAGACCTTGAAAAATGACTAGAATTTTACCAATTGAGGAAAGAAGAAAGGGCATCTCAAACAATGGAAACAGAACAAATAAAGGTGAAATGACATAAAATGCACAGAGTATCCTGATGTTGGCAAAACGTCTGATATTGTGGAGTGGGAAGAGTCTAGACTAGAAGGAAAAAAACCAGCATAAGTTTCTGAGTAGCAGTTTCTTTACTGCAATTTAAATAGTCAAACAGTGAGAAAATTCTTTTCAATTGTTAGCTCTCATAATTTTCCATAGATAACTAAGCTTTTAGACAGTATTTTGCTTTCATGTCTTATACTTTTCAATTGATCCTGGGTTAAAATAATACCCGGACTTTGTTATAATGTAACTTGGATCATATAACAGGATTTGGCTGAGAGTAAATTAATTCAATAATAGAACTAATAGCCTACATTCACTACACCAAAAATACAGAAGTCTTAAAATTAAACTATACTAAGGTACAATTGTAAATTGAATTCCTTTTTACTCCTGGTCCAATATAAAGCTACATTTTCAATATAACATAATTAAATGAATTCTAAACTGTTTTATTCAGAAGAACATTATTTCAAACTTTTGCAGACGACTTTAGACTCAGATTCATCCTGATACCGTGTTATTTTCAAAACAGTAAAGAATTTTCAAAAGAGTAAAGATCTTGGATAGGAAAACAGTTCATTTTTTCTAGCATAAACTCAAGAAAAATTTAGTTCACTATTAATAATTAATAAGATCACTTTAGGCTTAAAGAGAAAAGACAATTGAGGTCTAATAATGAACATCAGGGGATCTGAAAATAACTCTCTCCAGGGGCCAAAAACTGAGGGAAATAAATGCCACTGAAGTCTCTCCACATGTGTTAGCCAATAACGAAGAAATCCATCCATTGATAAAACATTTAAGACAAAAAAAAAATCAGTAAAACATGTCTCCCTTTTCTATTTCTAAAACATCACTTGGGTTATGTGTTTGGAAATCTTCCTTTGGCTAAAATTACTAAACTAGAGAAGTCATTGCAGAAATATCCAATGGCAACTTTTTAAAGTCTTTAGAAGTATATTCAGTTTAAAGAACCTCCAATATTACTTTTTATAAAGGAATAAAAGAACTCCAAAATAAATTCTTAAACACCTATGATTTCAAGTATTATTAAACAATAAACTACAAAACAATCAACAGTCAGATATGCTAAAAAGGAAGGAATTCCATAAAAAACTACTGAGGATATTTTCGAAAGGACAGAAGAGCCAGCTTAAAAAACTCCCACTGGTCAAATCTGGGACAATTTGAGCAACATAATACTACTACTGATGAATTACAACCCAATCAATAATATAGGAATCCATGACTCCATACCACTATAAATTAATGAAATAAATGGGGCAGAAAGAAAAGCTCTTTCTTATACAATACCAACTTCCAAATGCAGAAGAAATGATGGAACAGAAGAATCATTTGGCAACCACCACAACAGTGGCTGTCAACAATGGAATCATCAATCTGAGTAGTGATCTGATGAAAAACAAGATATTAGTATAATCTTGTTATATTTTCCCATAAAATAAAAATCAAAGAAGAAAATGATGATTCAGAGAGGAGAAATCTGACAGAGAAGAGCATGGACAATCAAAGTTAACATTACCAGGAGGAGTGGCTTTGTGTGCCCTATGATGTGCTGAAAAGATCATGTCTGTGATATTCTTACCAAGAAAGCATTACCTCAGGCTGGGTATAGAGGAAATATCAGATGACCCCCGGTTGAAGATCAACCTTCAGAATATAAGCTATGTCCTCTACAAAACTGCCAAGGACACAAAAGATATGGAAAGACAGAAAATATTCCGGACCGGAGAAGAACAAAAAAGATAAGATAGATGATTACAGTACATTTTCCTACATGGATTGCAATTGGTAAAATTTGAATGGGGTCTATAATCTGGATGGTAACACTGTTATCAATGCTAACATCCAGACTTGGAGGGCTGAGCGTGGTTAGATAGGAATGTTCTTGTTTCTAAAAAATACAATGATGTATACAGGGGTAAGAGGGCACCAAACCAACAATTTCTCAAACAATTTTAAAAAGATTAGTGATAATAGATATGTGCAGGAGTGGGTGGGAGGTAGATACATGCTAATATTGGGAAAATCTGGATAAGGGTAGAGATGGGAGTTTCCTGTATTGTATTTGAAACTTCTATAAGTTTGAAATTATTTCACAGTAATTTTTTTTTTAGCCCTGCAACTTGAATTAAAACAAAAAGTAAGTAGCTTGTTGCTGGAATTCAGTTTGTCTAAGGCAGGAACCATTTTTGCAAAGACATGAACAAATATATTCTTATCTGAAAATATTAATAAAACCTCACCTATCATTTCATGTACTAAGTATAGGAGATCAGGCAGGATGTTGAAATAAGTGAATATAGCACTGGGAATAAGGAAACAAATTAGCTCGCTGGATTTTAATTTTAGATAGGTCATTTCACTCCTTAATTAAGTTTCCTTATTTCTAAAAGAGGTTAAATGAGATTATCATCAGCAACAAAACAAACTCAGTGTTAAGGGATCTGGGTACAAATGTATTATTCTCTCTCATCGGCTGATAATGATATGCATAACTAAAGTTAGGCCACGGTAATGGATTGCTTGAGCTTAGAAGTTTAAAACCAACCTGGGCAACACAGTGAGACTCCATCACTACAAAAAATTTTAAAAATTAGCTGAGTGTGGTGACGCATGCCTGTAGTCCCAGCTACTCAGGAGGCTGAGGTGGGAGGATCACTTGAGCCTGGGAGGTCAAGGCTGCAGTGAGTCATGATCACACCACTGCACTCCAGCCTGGGCGACAGAGCAGGACCTTGTCTCAGAAAAACAAACAAATAAAAAGACTATTTTATACACATTTGAAGGCAAATAAAGGCTATTACAAATTTAATACAAAGATGCCCCGAATGCAAGAAAAGAGAAAGAAAGAATTACACTAGATATGCAACATTGTAAGAAAAATAAAATTAAGACTACATACTCTGGCGTATACACCGGCAACCAATAGACGAGTCTTCCACCTAACACGAGGGTCTCAGCTGCGAAGTTTAATAGGTCAAGAAACATATCACTCAGGTGATAATTTAAGGAAACAGGAACATGGCTTTCTGGACTACACAAAACAAAATTTCAAAATCAGTGAAAAAGTTTAAGGCTGCTAAGTTAACTACAGAAGCAATATGCTTCTTCCGAAAGTAGTAACACAACATATTTAAATTTCACTTACCATTTTTCTATCCCCTTTGGTATTTCCTTCTGTGAACCTGTTCTTCTTGTAGATTCTCTGATACCATATGGAGCTAGACAGAAAACAAAGGTAACACAGAGAGTCAATAGTCACCAAATCACTGATGAAGGGCAAACAGACATGCTGCCTTCAAATGTGACACCCTAAGGACACACCACCACCAATGCACAATTTCAACCAAAATGTACAACATAATGACTTCGGGGAGGAGCAACCGTCTTCTTAAAACATGTTGATGCTAAAAAAGTTATTGAGAAAGGCTGCAGAAGTGTTACAAATTAAAGGAGGCTTCAAAGATATCATTACTAAATACAACACCTGACTCTAGAGTAGATCCTGTCCTAGAGGGAAAATATATGCCATAAAAGATACTACTGAGTCAATTGACAAAACTGAATGGCAAACTGCAGATGATATTATTTTATCAATTTACTGAAATTGATAACTATTTTTGCTAAGAGACTACCTATATTCTCAGGAAATACACACTGAAGTATAGGAGTAAAAGGCCACAATGTATGCCACTTACTCCCAAGTTGATCAGGAAAAATATATATAGATGTATTTTATATAAGTAAACACAGAGTGAAAGAGCAAATAATAAAGCAAATTGTTAATTAAAAAAAAATCACCAAATTTTCATAAAGTATATTCACCACTGAAGCCATAATGCCTTGATAATTTCTCATTTGTTACATTTGAAAATATCTAAGTTAGCAAAGAACTAAAGACAGCTGAGATAGAAGGGTTCAGCTTTGCCACTATTTACAGATTTACTGTCAAATACTATAGAAAAGGCAGACCGTTTCTTAGATAGGCTGCCTGAAAAGCTCACGACCTCATGAAGCATGGGAAAATAAATTTTCACGCACAATCCTGAAGCTCAGTGGGTTCACAGGCCCAGTGGTTCCATAGAACCCTAAGTTTCTTGTAATGCTAGAAAGGCGATGCCAGTGAAAACAGGCACTACAAAAACATAAATACTTACACATAGAGAAATGTGTAATATCTGAAACTCTTGACACCATAATTGCAAATGACATTTGAGCTCCAGCTGGTATAATAACCACCAATTATATTCAATACAAAAACAAATATTAAATATATGCCTCAAAAAAATAAGCTGAAGGGAAAAACGGGTGACAAGTTAACATAAAAGGACGTAAAAGTGGATGGCAAGTCAATATATTTGTTTAGAAAACAAAAACAGTAAACCTTTAACAACATATTTAAGTTTTTTTGTTTTTGTTTTTGAGACAGAGTCTCACCCTGTCCCCCAGGCTGGAGTGCAGTGGCACAGTCTCCGATCACTGCAACCTCTGCCTCCTGGCTTCAAGTGATTCTCCTGCCTCAGCCTCCTGAGTAGCTCGGATCACAGGCACTCACCACTATGCCCAGCTAATTTTTTGTATTTTTAGTAGAGACGGGGTTTCACCATGCTGGCCAGGCTGGTCTCAAACTGCTGACCTTGTGATCCGCCCGCCTCAGCCTCTCAAAGTGCTGGGATTACAGGCATGAGCCACCACGCCCAGCCCGTAGTTAAGTTTGGAATCCACACTACCTTCATAACGAGATGAGGAAGCTGGGGGTGGATGGGAGAAATACTGACAGGCTGGCATTTTGTGCGTGTGTTGGTGAATTTTGTACTTTAAATGTAAATAATTTTACAAAACTAGTCCTACTCCTATTTTTGTGTAAAAATAAACTTACGATCAGTAATGATTGCATCAAAATATGTGCCCTTTCTCCAAGAAGGTTTAGATGCATCTGAAACGAGGACATCAAGGTAATACTTTTCTAAACCATACTGACGAAGATTGGCCCTAATGTTTTCATCTGGTCCTCTCCATTTCTGGTTTTTCCTAGTAGCCTTTCCTGGAAGGAAAGAAAAAGGAAGAGAGAATGTAATAAACAGTATTCTTATTTCCTGTCATTTAGCTAAAAGTAATGTTTTAACTCATTGAAACCTACATTTATTCAAAATTGGCTTTCATTTAAAATCTTAATTTTATATATACAAGTATATATTTTAATTTCAACATAACAGCAAAATGTACTGATGTCTAACTTATCTTGTTCTGTCACCTTTCAAGTAAAACTGCCTTAAAACACTCATTCGATAGCTTCAAGTATGATAGAGTTGAAGAGAATATGGTTCCTTCCTTCCTGCAGTAAACAGTCCTGTGTAGAGACAGTGATGAATCAGATAAATGAAACAGAAATGAAGAGACCTAACTCAGGAAACGCAGCAGTTGTAACCATGGAGAAGGGAAGCAAATGGAGACATTGCTAACTAATGAAAAGTTAAAGTGGCTACGGATGGAAGACTAAAGAAGCTCGTAAGTTCCTTATTTAGGAGACATGATAGTTTAGGATGATGACACCAGTGATTAATATCAGAGGAACTAGGAAGAAAAACAAGCTTAAGAAAAAAGATGGGACTCATTTGAGATATATCAATCTTGATGTACCTTGAGTTACCTGATGAACATTCAGAAAGAGATATGCAGTGGAGACATGCAGCAGGTAGTTGAAGGCCAGAAGATACATACTTTGGAGTTATCAGTAATATAATCTTAAACTGACTCCATAAGGCTGAATAACCTTTTTTTGTTAACTTAGAAGGTAGTTACATATTTGCTCTATAATTATTCTTGTAAAATCAAAAAAAGAATGACATGACTCTGAAAAACATGCAATGTGACAGGAGAAGTGGTCAAAGATAGGTAGACACCTGGAAAAAATAATATATAAACAGAAATCAAAGAAAATTGCAGGGCCTCAAGTAGACCAAGAAGAAACAAAGAAGTAGAAGTACCACCCGCGGAGACTACTGTCAAGGAAGCCACGAGTGGCTGTATGAAGGTCAACATTGTCAAATGCTATAAATCTGTGGTCTTAGTATGTGTTTTCAGCAGAATGTGGTCTTAGAATGTGTTTTCAGCAGAATGACAGGCACAGAAGCTTGAAAATAATGGGAAGAAGAGAGAGTAAAAGACGAAGAACAGGAGACAGCAAGTTAATACCAGTTTTTCAAGAAGTATTTTGGCAAAGGGAGGAGGAAAACAAAGTGATAGCTAGAAAGCCTCTAAAGATTTGCTGAACAAACAAACAAAAAAAAGTTTTATACTTTTAAAACAGGAGAAACTTGAGAATATTTCAGGATAAACTAAGAGATCAGAACCATAGGAAACAGACAGCATACCTAACAGTATCGTGGATCAGCTCTAAGGAAACTCTACCTCAATCAGAATTCCACCCCAGTAGACTGAAGGTTACCACATAAGTTTCCAAATATAACTTTAATAAATAAAAATGCAAGTAAATTATACAAGACAATTTCCTCAAAGGAAATATACTGCTTCTACTAAAAGCAAACTGGAATAATTCCTAGTACTTTTTCTTTTTGAGACAGAATCTCACTCTGTTGCCCAGGTTGGAGTGCAATGATCTCAGCTCACTGCAACCTCCACCTCCTGGGTTCAAGCAATTCTCCTGTCTCAGGAGGCCTCAGCCTCCTGAGTAGCTGGGATTACAGGTACCTGCCACCATGCCCAGCTAATTTTTATATTTTTAGTAGAGATGGGGTTTCACCATGTTAGTCAGGCTGGTCTCAAACTCCCAATGTCAGGTGATCTGCCCACCCCAACCTCCCAAAATGCTGAGATTACAGGCGTGAGCCCCATGCCTGGCCTAATTCTTAGTATTTTTTAAAACAGATTTCAGATAAAGAATATCTTTTTCTTGCTAGCCCATTTATGTACACCTAATAAATGATAACTCCTTTTCCTAATAAAGGTTACCAAATTCTTTACAGTCAAGGTAGGGAAAGACACAGGTCATCAGTACAAGATATCAAATTACTTCAGCAAAAGAAAATAAAGTATAATAAATGCTCACCAATATAATAACTTATATTTGGTGAGGAAAAGGAAAAGATTATTGAAAGGGCTAATCCCAGTTACTATAATGGAATACCAACATAAACACAAATAATCTCAAAATTATCAAGAAAATCACATTTTTAATACCATTAAGCTATAAGGAAATATTTTTTCAGTTTAATTCAATTCCATCCAATCACACATCATTATTGAAGCTTCTAGAGTTTATTTTCCATAATTACCTAAAAAGTAAAGCAGATGACTGTTTCAAGCACCCTCAGTTTAAGGCAGAATCTTTAAAGTTACTTTAAAGATTATCCAATGATAATCTTATAAAATACCCATTGAAATCTTACAAAAACAAGTAAAATTACATCACAATTTTGTATTTGAAGATTAAAATAATGTCATATAAAACTACAGTTGACCCTTGAGCAACATGAGGGATAAGGGATGCCAACTCCTCACACAGTCAAAAATTCACATATAACTTTTGAATCCCCCAAAAACTTTACTACTAATAGCCTAATGATATACTTACTTTATTTAGGAAAAACAGATTTACTACTCATTAAGTGGAAGTAGATCATCATAAAGGTCTTCATCCTCATCATCTTCAATGTTGAGTAGGCTGAGGAGGAAGAGGAAGAGGAGGGATTGGTCTTATTGTTTCTGGAGTGGCACAGATGGAAATAATCTGAGTATAAGTGGGCCTGTGCAATTCAAACCTGTGTTGTTCCAGGGTCAACTGTATTTTACTTTTTTAAAGGCATATTTGGTACAACAGCAAAGACTACAATACTGTCTATAATCTCTACTCACCCAAGCCATGAACTGTGTTGTAGTCTATGTCTGTCCCGTATACATATGCCCCAAAATGAGCAGATGCTATCAGGAGGCCACCTGAAAAATCACACAAATGGGTAAGTCCCAAACTCCTGTGTATTCCTATTTAATTCATCCAGTCTTAGAAACTAGCTGCAGGCAGAGTATCCTGGAATGACACTGGTCATAACATATTTAATAAACCTCAGGACTAAAAAAACAAAACCCTAAGCTATATTCGCTAAACTGATCACAAAGTGGAATAATTAATGTATACCTTGGCATCATTAGTTTAATAATGCACTATTTATGGAAAATCATATTTTTTGGGGTCAAAATAATGTATATTTAGACATTTTCATCTTATTTTGAGAGCTCTACACAAAAGCATTTTGCTCCTTTCTTAAAAATGAGAATATAAGGCTATTTACACAAAGAGCTAAAAATAAATATAATAAATTCTGACAACTGGGCTCGAGTCCCACTGAAGTCAGAGTTTCAAACGAATAAAGAAGGCATAATTAATATGTGAGACATTAGTTCTTACAGAAATTAAAGGTTAGGATATATTTTAATTTTTGTAAGAATTAACTATTTTAATATATAGTTACTCCTGTAACCAATCAAGTAATTATCTCTTATTTTAAATTATAAATATAAATTTCTGAATAACAACTATCAAGCATGCACAAAACAATTAATAAACTTTTTTTATTAGTGCTGTGACCAAAGAAAGAACTGTCCCAATACAATCTGACTAGACAAAGTAATGTGACAGATGTGACCAGCTCACACATGAAGAAAAATCTTAATAAAGGTTAAAATAATAATGAAACTCTTTAAAATAAAAGATAATGGTATTTTTAAATTAAAAAATTGTACAAAATTAAACTTTTAATAATTGTACTTTTAATTAACTTCACTTTTATATATATATATATATTTTTTTTTTAATTAGGATTGTTGCATAGGTACATACATGGCAATGTTGTTTGCAATTAACTTCACTTTTTAAAATCATTCAAATTAAAATGCTTTTAGTGCTTGGGCAAGTTTTAATTAGCTTTACTCTAGGAAGGTCTGCTAGTCAAGCTGAAATCACAAATATATTCTTAGACTACAAAATATGCACAGACTTGGACAAGGGGAAAAAACTAGGGCTCTTTCCTTCACGTCCTTTTGAGATGCAATCTCTAAAACTAAGATGGGTAGTGCCTCTGGAGGATCAAGATTCATAAATTAATGGGGTTCCTTCCATAGCTATTTAAAACATAGTCTGATAGCATGGACTTAAAAATACTTGGTTCATGAAAATTATAACTGACTAGTTCCTATTGGAATCCATGAAGAAGCGACATGAAAGACTAAAAGTACAGCAGAAACCAAAACCTAGGTCTTCTCACACTAACTACAAAAAGCATTCATGTGAGAGGGAAGGTTAAAAAGTTCTTGTAATTCTTACTCTGGAAATGGAACACTCCATATTTAGGAAAGGCAGCATATGTGATGACTTGGAATACTCACAAAGTCACTTCACCCAAATTACAAGGAGGTACTACAATTCTGCCAGTTAAGGCAGATACTCACCTAGAAGAACTAGTTGTCAAGGGGAACAGAAAAGCTTTCCTGTGCTTCCTTAAACAGAACCTTATCCATTTGGTTAGAGTGAGTTTTGAGAAGACCCAATTTACAAGTACACTGCTGAAAGGAGATGAATAATCTGTTAGACTATATCTGATAGTTAACTTCGTGTCTTTTACGCTTTTTTAAAAAATTAAATCTTAATAAATTAGCTTCTCTGAACTGGTCACTGGCTAATCATTGGTAGTCATCTAGTTGTTCTTTTGATGAAATTGAAGGGCTTTTTACATTTAGTTATGCCTCAGTTGGAGTTTTTTGGAGGGGCTTTTTGGTGGAAGAAGGGGTACTAAAAAGGAGAGTGAAGTGTCAAGGAGGCAAGTAACATGACTCACTCATTTCTTTTTATGTTTCAAAGAGTAAAAATACTGCCTATGTGATGTATACTAGAAACTCAGTGTTTCAATTTCTCATTACTTAAATTGTAAGCACTTTAAGGTTAGGGTAATATCTTACAAACAAAAGAATACAAGAAGAATTGGAATTTGTTCTAAGATGTAAAAAATTATTCATGATTTTCATCTTTAGAGAACTAAGTGGAAAGCTTTGCAATAGTGGAAAAATGAGACTGGGCTTTGGTTTTGCTGAGAGAAAAAAAAAAGAAAGAAAAATGGCAATATTATTGTATCTATTTTATCTTTCTCAAAAAAAAAAAAAATCTACTTAAACAAATTAAACTAGCAGGCTGAGCAAAAGAATACTGCTAGACAATGGGATTCCTACTAGACAAACCATGATATTTCAGGAAGAGGGGACTACAAAGGGTAGTAGGGAAAAAATGGGAAACAGAATATTACACAAACTTACAGAGATCCATTACCTCACTCTCCTAACTTTCTCTTTTTCTCCTCATTTTTTCTTCCTAGAACCAGGATAGTCAGTTTCCTAACACCTAGTTCCTGTGTCCACTATTTTGCAATGATAAAACTTCAAAAGGAGCTACACTACTTTCCTTACACCTATGGGTCAACTGAAGGTGGACATGGCCAACGAGTATACATTAGTCTCCCGAGTGAACTGTCATGACTGGAGGAGCTGACTCACTTGACAGAGAAGATGAGAGGAAATCAGAGCTACGACTGCAGAGCTCTGTGCTACCTAAAGCAACTGGCATATACTTGTACATATTATTTTAATTATAAACAAAGAATTAGACATTTATAATTTTACATTTCAATATCCTTGTCTGCTGCTATCCCCTGCCAACAGTTGCAAATTATTAGTATCTTTTAAATCATCCAAAAAGAATACTAAAAAATGAGTTTATGGTCAAATTCTTCATCACCACCATTTAAAATTAGCTACATCTAACATTGTTAACCAAAAAGGCATCTAAAATCTTATCAAAATAATAATTGATAAGTAATAATGATAACCACTATAGTTCACTGTCTACCATGTGTCAGGCAACTTCCTAGAAATACTACATATGCATATTGCCTCATTTAATCCTCACAATATATTAGTATTACCATTTTACAAATGATGGAATCGAAACCCAGACAAGTTAAGAATCTTGCCCAAAGTCACATACTAATTGGTAAAAAGATTTAAACTTTGCTCTATTTTCTTTATATCATACTACCTCCTTTGGGATTAGCACCAATTGAAGTAAATACATATTCACTCACCAATTAGATAAACAAAAGCAAAGTATGTTAGTAAACAAATTATATTAAATTAAGTGAAGCTACCTACTCTGTTAATAAGAATGTTATATATACCATTCACAAGTCTTGTACTGTATCACAGACAGGGCTGTGCCATTAATAGGTATTCAGTAAATTCATGCTGATCATTCCTTTAGCCAAACTCACAACAGAATAGTGGCAATTCCCAACAACTGAGAGCTGACACGATGCTATATCTCTTCCCCTTTGGGAAAGTGGAGACACATACACACAATTTTTAAAAAATCTTACTAAAATGAAAACCAATGCATTTATTAAAATAGAAAGAAAAATGTGTTTCTGCCATTCATAATGTCATTCTAAACAGCAGCAAACAGTCTAAAAGAAAAAAGGAAAGGTATTTAGGCAGGAAAAAGCTATATTTCTCCTTTCAGCCTCCTAGAAGCTTTCTACTCTATTCTATATCCCTGAGAAAAATCACAAACCATGAGTAGTAAGTGGGCAATGCATTTGGGAAACTACATACATTTCAATTTTGTACCTTTAAGAAGGGGATTAGACACGTGCATTTTTTCAAAAAAACTATTTAAAAAGGCAACCAAAAGAAAAAATAACAAATATTTTGTGAAAACTATGGCCATGGAGGAGGGCACAGAGCTACTTATTTCTCCAATCCTTCAGAAGGTACTACCCATCAATGAGGCAAAAGACCCAAGAGAAGACAAACTGCTTAAGACCTGTATCTATTCATAATTACTGGTTATTATATTTCAAAGCAAAAGCACCAAAAATTGACTGACGTCCTAAAGCTATATTTAAACTACAAACACAAATTAATAAATTGTGTTTTAGCAGCACCTTTGCAAAAATCCTCCTCTCATTTTCCATTAACTGTCTTATATGAATAGTCAGATGATCCAAATATACCACCCACTGTGAAAAGCTGCCCTAAAGGAAACAGAAACAGGTCTCCTTGCCCCTCAACACACTACAAATGGTCCACATATTGACAGCTGTGAAGATAATTTCAAAATATACCTAGCCTTATCTATTCAACAAAAAATATAATCCATATTGGCAACCATATTTTTTAATTCTGTAGTCTAGTCTATTTGTATGTATATATATTAATCATTTTGTTCATGTATATAGCTAAAAGAATTCTTCTCAATTGACAGAAAAAGCTTTTAAAACCCAAGATTAAGAATAAAAGCTTTCGCATTTGGAAAAAGATAAATTAGATCCATTTTTCACATCATACAAGAGAACAATCTCCAAATGAACCTGAGATCTAAGAAGAAAAAGTGTAAAACTACAAAAGTACTAGAAGAAAACACTAATGAATTCCTCTACAACTTGAGTGTGGGGGAAACTTTTGCATGGCAAAAATCAATTAGTAGCAAAGTCAAAACATAAATGACAAGCTAAGGTAAAATACTTGCACACACATCACAGAAAAAGAGGGGGAGTATGAGGGGGCTGTATCCCAAACTTACAAAGGACTTTGAAAAATGAGGGGGAAGAGACCAAAAATGCTATTGAAAAATGGGCAAAAGACATAAAAGACAATTTTTTAAAAAGTAGCCTTTAAAATACAAAAATAAATAGCCTTTAAAATACAAAAAGTTGTTATACTTCATTCATAACCACAGAAATACAACTTAACACTACATTGAGATATCATGTTTCACCCAACAGAACAGACAAAACTTCAAAAGCTTGAAAATATACTCTGCTGGTGAGACTGTGGGAAAACAGGGACTCTCCTACAATTGTTGGTAGGAATCCAAAATAGTATAATGGAGACAAATTTGGCAATATCAAATGAAATTGCATATGCATATACTCTTAAACCCAGAAATCCTACTTGTAGGAATTTACCCTAGGACAGGGGGTTCCAATCTTTTAGCTTCCCTGGATCACACTCGAAGAAGAATTATCTTGAGCCATACATAAAATATATTAACACTAATGATAACGGATGAGATTTAAAAATAAAATTGCAAAAATTCTCATAATGTTTTAAGAAACTTTACAAGTTTGTGTTGGGCCACATTCAAAGCCATCTGGGCTGCATGTGGTCCACAGGCTGCGGGTTGGACGAGCTTGCCCTAGGGCTACATCTCCAACATTGCAAAGGTATATATATTCATAAGGCTGGTCATTACAAGCATTATTTGTAACTGTAAAATACTGAAAACTACCAATGTCCAACTATAGGAGATTGTTTGAATAAATTACAGTACATATACTCATGGAGCAAAACTATAAAAGAATAAAGACAATTTCTATGAACTGACAGGAAGTGATTTCCAGGAAATACTATTAAGTGAAACAAGCAAAGTTAAAACTAACATACATACTACCTTTTGTGTAAGAAAGTAGTGGAAATAAGAAAATGTACATATATCTGCTTATCATTACAAAAAGAAACACAGGAAGAATCAACTAGAAAACAATGAAGTTAGTCACCCAAGAGAGGTGGGAGAACAGGCTGGAAGGGTTATAGAAGTTAAGTGACACCTCTGAGTACCACTTCTTGTATAGTTCTGACTTTTTGGAAGCAAGTGCATCTTACACGTATCTGAAAATAAAAGTAAATCAACAAGGAATGTGGGATGGGGGATAAAAACCTAAAACAGAGGGCAAACTGAACAAATTAACCCAAATGAATTTTAAATGAAAAGGGAAAAAGCAGGCACAGTACTTGAGTTTACCACCTCTTAAGGTAAAGAACTGAAAACATATCCTGAACTCTTATTCACAGGATTTTTTTAAGTGGCACAGGCAAAACAACTGTGAAACTATTTCAGATATGAGAAAAAGAGTAAATGCGCTGATGTAGGTATGAACCAGAGTTCTCACTGTGGAGGAAGGTTCTCACTGTGGAATAATAAAGGTTTGGTGATTACCAAAAAAAAAAAAAAAAAAATAGGGTAGTCAAAAAGATCTGTAAAGACTGACTACAATTTGTAGTATATGTACAAATTCAGTGTCTAAAATATGTATATGTCCGTGTATGTGCATTACACAGAGTATACAGGAACATATACAAGTGTATTTGCATATTCACTTACATGAATACTAGGTACATATGCATATGTATTTTCTAGCTTGTCCACTGAAAGTATCTATAATCCAGATCTCATCTCCCCACTAAAAGAAACAAAAATTCCTTGGAGAAATGATTGATAACAGAACTTGAACAAATAGAAGAGAAAGGAAGAATGTACTCAAAAGAAAAATAGATAGGAACATGTTACAAATACAGATTCAATGTGAAAGGGCTCTGACTGGGCAAATCACAATTTGAGCAACAAAAGTAATTAAGAAACTTAAGAAATGTAATGAAATATAGACCCACAGGGTTAAAAAGGGGAACACACTAGTTCATATTAACAAACAATTACAAAAACAGATACATGGAAGAGAGGCAAGGGCTCATGCTTACAGCAGAATAATGAATGTTGACTTGTAACTGTGGAGGGAGCACTGGAGTTGGAAAATCATCCCTTTCAAACCATCCAAGTAAAGAATGGTTCAGGAAAAAAATTATCAATGGCTTCTAAACCTGGTAATCTGAGTGGTAAGAGGAGATTTGGATAAGGAATGGAATACTACACGGACTTAATGTGTCTCTCCACAGATTGCTTAATGGCAAGAATAACAAACAAAAAACAGTAATTGCACTGTTTATGATTATGAGTGAAAAAAATCAACCACCACCTTGACCAGATGATCAAAATTACCAATACCCATGCAGGGCAGAATGCCATCATGTACACACCTGAGAAGGACACAAAAAAATCACTGATGCAGCGGTCCAGCTGGGAATGTATAACCTAACCCTAATCTTGAGGAAACATCAAACAACCCAAAATAAGGAACAATTTAGATAAAAAATAAAGGGAAGAGAAATACCATCTTGAAAAGTGCAAATTTTATAAAAGAAAAAGAAACTCTGGCTGTGTTTCAAATCAAAGACATCGAAGACATATTAACAACAAAATATAATACCTGATCCTAGCCAGGAAGGGGAAAAGGATGATAGCAAAAATATTAATATTATTGGGTCAACTGTCAAGACTGAAATATGAGTATCAAAGTACTATATTAATACATCTATTAACACTGAAAACGGTACTGTGGTTATATACGAGTATACAGCCTTATTCTTGAGAAATAGGTACTTGAGGGGTAAAGGGATACGATAGATACAACTTTCAAATGATGCAGGAAAGAAAATACTACAGAAATATAAACAAATAGAATAATTAATAAAGCAAATGAGGCCAAATGTTAACAACAGCTTAAATTAAGGATACACAGACGTTCTTTGTTCTACTTTTATTATTGTAACTTTTCTGAAAGTTTGATATTATTTCCAATAAAAAGTTTAAAATTTGGGGAGAGGTACTTAGGATAATAAGGGTGGGGAAGAAAAGGATATAGAGTATGTTGAGGGTGCGTGATATGGAGAAACTGGCACAGAAAGACTCACCAGTGAATTAACTCAACAACAAACAGAGAAAGTCATGCTATCAGTTAGAAATTTCTCGACCTTGATTACTACTTCTTTCTAAGCATACGTGGTCATATTCCTTAAGTTAGTGTAATAGTTGCTTGCCAGATCCTAATGCAGAGAAGCAGCTCTAAGTTAAGAGCCTGAGCTCTGGAGCCGGACTGCTCGAGTTTGAATCCTATGAAACCAACATACTGTATAACCTTGGCCATTCACCTCTCCCTGTGCCATAATTTCCTCAAGAAAGTGTTTTAAGTATCTCCATGTTAGGTGTTCTAAGAACTAAACTAGATAGCAACATCAGAGTGCCCAGCATAGCACCTGATACATTTACTATTCAATAAATGTTAGCTCTGCATTATCACTGCTCATGGGGAAAGATGGCTATAGGGAGAGGCTCCAACCACAAACTCAGCCGTAAAATGAGTTTGGCCAAACTTAAATACAAGTATTTGCTAGGTATGGGTAAGATCAAGAAAAACTGAATGAAGTACGCGGTGGCTCAAGCCTGTAATCCCAGCACTTTGGGAGGCCGAGGCGGGTGGATCACAAGGTCAAGAGATCGAGACCATCCTGGTCAACGTGGTGAAACCCCGTCTCTACTAAAAATACAAAAAAAATAGCTGGGCATGGTGGCGCGTGCCTGTAATCCCAGCTACTCAGGAGGCTGAGGCAGGAGAATTGCCTGAACCCAGGAGGCGGAGGTTGCGGTGAGCCAAGATCGCGCCATTGCACTCCAGCCTGGGTAACGAGAGCGAAACTCCGTCTCAAAAAAAAAAAAAAAAAAAAAAAAACTGAATGAAGTAGGAAAAAGTCTGCATGGAGTCAGATGAAGTACACTTGGAGTTTTAGGACTTCCATATAAAATTATCCCAGTCATATGCACAAAAAACCAAGGTCACTGCCATAGTGACCAGGCTCTAGCCCACTGATACTTAAGACACTTTTCTTATTTTCACACTTACTTATAAACCTCCACTAACAAACTCAAAGATAGAATATATTAACTATTTTTCTCCATCCACATATATGGTTATTAATTTGAACATGGATGAATACATTTTTTTGATCTTGTCATTCAAGTCTGTCTTTCACCAAGAGTTTTCCTATTTAAATAAACTATACGGCTTTACGGCGTTTCTACAACGTATGGTATTGCAAATTTTTCTGCTACAAAAAAATTAGACGGATGTTCTCTGCTACTGTTTATCTGGAATAAAACCCATACAATTCTATCAGCATTATCTTTGAAGAGGCAAAAGTGTTAAATACTAGCTAATACACAAGTATGTGGTTGTCTTTTGGCCACTATCCAAACACAATTAAAAGATTATCCATTTACTCTTTTAGCAAAAATATTACCATGATCTTCATTTAATCTAAATAAGCAACACCTCTACACTAGCTTAAAAGTTAAATAAAAATACCTGTTCCAACAAATGGATCAAAGACAATATCATTTTCTTTCACTTTTCCATGGTTAGCCATAATGAATGACAAACCAGCATCCATACTTGTATTTCCAATAAAGTGTCTCTTTTTGACACTGTATGACTCAATAAGCTCTCTCTGTCCATCTGCAATCTAAATCAGAGATATTTCTCAAGTTAGTACAGTCATAGGGAACAGACAAGATAATCACTCACAGTAAGACCACTGCATTTTGCTGACAAGAACTTCTTTCCACTTATTACTGCTCTAAACTTATTTGTTTAAAATAATGTAATTGAGGTAGTTATGGACAAAACCTTTTGTTTCTTAATGTCATTCCATTTACTTTGTCTTTTCAAAACAAGTATGAACTGAATTCGAATGCAATTATTCCACAGGTAGTTGCTAAGGTATGTCCATTTCTTTGTTCTCCTACATAACAATAATCTCTAACGTAAGTCACAACTTTCACTCACAGCTTCCAATCACCCACTTAAAGCCTCAGAGAAGTCGACAGAACTGCTCTACAGTAATTTCATTTCTTTTGGAATGGAAGACCCAGATTGGAAATCTCCACATATGAGATCCCCCAACTACCAGAGCACTGTTTTCTCTGATTAAAAAAAAAAAAAAAAAAAAATCAGTCCAGATTTTCTTATAAGTCTTATTTCAACATTTCCAGGTAGACCAACTCCTCCCTATATTTAACACGCCTCTTGCACTTCATAAGATCTCTGGGGAAAACCAAAACAAAAGACAATCACGCTCTTCACCAATTTTATGGATTCTGACTCTTTGGCTTACAGTTCTCTTTAGCTGCTTTATAGTTCCACATATGAGTCAAATACAAAGGCCTAATACGTAGCTTTCAAAAAAATAAATTGACATAAGTAGAAACAACACTTGCTCACCCATCTACCAAAATAAATATTATGTGGATTCTCAGGGATGCAGTTTGGGTCCAAACCATAATCCTCCAAAACAGAGAATACATGTTGTGGTTTCTTTAAATTTACTTTTCCTTCAAATGGCAGAAATTCAAGTGCCTAAAAAATAAAAGAAATGCTAATATCTTACAAAGATTTACAAGGAAAAATGGTGCTTATCTAATAACATTACCTTGTAAGTCTGGAGTCAATATTAAATAAAACATGAAAAGCATTTAGCACAAAATGTGGTACAAAATAAATACTTAACAGAAATTGGGTATTCTTATATATCAACAATGGCTAGACTGCTTCATTATGTAGGTTTTCTGTTTTGCTAAATTTACTTACGTCTATTCGCTTGATTTTCTCTTCTTGTGTCAATGTCTTATTGAAAGTATGAATCTTTATTTTATATGTAGAGTCTGAATGTAGAAATGGAACCTAAAAGGAAATAAGTTTTTTGAGCATTGTAGTTCTACAGAATCTGCACACATGCCTATATAAAACTACATTTTATTACGCACCATCTTCTCCACAGGATAAGTTTTAAGAGAACTGTACAGCTCCTCAGGAGATTGTCCATGACCCCATAGTTCAAATATAGACCTAGGAAATAAATGATTGGTACTAACCTCAGTAAAGAACTTAGTTCACACAGTAATACATAGTCTTTTTACTAGTTCTTTATGCCCACTACACTAATTACTGCTTATGTTTTGTAAAGTATAAATGAAAACTATGTATCCTGGAAACAAATATAACTTAGGCCAAATCACACATAAAAGTTGAACTTGACATGGAAAGAAGGAAATTCAATAAGTCAGGATATTTTCCAAGTTTTCATATTTTTAGAATAGAACAAATGATACACTAAATTCAGTTATTTTAGATAAATGGGTAAAAAGCCACAGAAAAGCCAATTTTTCCCAATGTCTCCTCCATAATACAAAGACTAATGACCAGATAAAAATGTCATTAATATTTAGCTGGCCAGGCATAGTGGTTAACGCCTGTAATTCCAGCACTTTGGGAGGCTGAGGTGGATCACTTGAGTCCAGGAGTTCAAGACCAGCCTGGGCAACATAGCAAAACCTTGTCTCTACAAAAAAAGGCAAAACATTGGCCAGGCATGGTGGCACATACCTGTAGTCCCATCTACTTGGCAGGCTGAGTCCTGGAGTTTAAGTTTATGGCTCCTCAAGACTAAAAGGAGCCATAATCATGTCACTGCACTCCAGCCTGGGCAAGAGTGAGACTCTGTCATGCATGCACATAAACACGCAGGGACACACACACACATGATTTTAGTAACTAAGTTACCCAAAATGTTGATATCTAATAAGGTATATTGTTATATTTTTCACTCTTTTTGTGGCATGCTCAAAATATTTCATGTCAAAAATAAATTAACTTTCAATCCCCTTCTAGCACAGAAAAATCTGAATTTAAGTTGATTTTGAATCTATGCTTTTATAAAAGTCTATCTTTGTTCCGGTATAATTAAATTGTGAATTTTATCCTTTGCAAATGAATCCTTCCTTTTCTATTGAATTTACAGAGAAAATGCTTCTACAGTCATACTAATCTTACTTAGCTATCATTTAACGTATACCTCAGCTACACAAAATATAGATAGTAAAAAGCAATGAACAATTATATATTATACAATTGTTAATTGTACCATTAATCAAATATATGACTTAGAAGAGGTTTGAAAGAAACATGTAAGTTCTTAGTATTCCAGTGGCTATTTTAAACCTAACAAGCAATTATTCAAAGAGTTTTTTTAAAAGTTATGTTTCTGTTTTCTAGTCATTTTTATTTCATAAGACCTGTTAGCAAGCATCACTGTAAAAGATAAAAGGCTTCAGGTAGTTTTTAATAGGATGAAGTTAACTAAACATAGGGTTGTATTCAATTCCATAATATAGCAATTACATATGACTATATAAAACATTGCTAACCATGTTAATAAAACTAGATATATGTAAGTTCTTATTTGCATTGCATTAGCAAATATAATCTCTAAGGAAAAGAAAGTTTTCAGCAATCTGCCAAAATGTTCAGGAAGAAAAAGCAGCTTAAAGATAACACGAGCTGTTCGATCTTTAAGATATTAGTTAAAAATACAGTTTAATTTTCAAATCTGATGACAGAAAATTTTCCAATTATATATATATATATATAAAGAAATGGAATAAAAGAGCAGATGCCAACGATAAAATCTAGAAACACTGAGGATAAACAATGAAGAGCATCATCACATTAACTCATACCAAGATGTGATATTCTACCAATTCTTTTCTCTACCAGCTGAAATGGTATAACATATTTTATGGCAGTCCTCGCTTTTTGTTACCCGACACTTCACTAATCTGCTCGTCCAATTAAAAACCATCTAAGAGAAAAGCATGTTTGAATTTTCAGCACTTTGGTTATAATTATATGTGGCATTTATCCTATGTAAGAACATAATGTTTATATCTGATACTATACTCCCACATAATATGGAAGGTCAAAAAAATTACTCTAAAACAAATGTGTCTACAGTTCCCCAGACACTCTTTCCTCCTGGGTTTCAGCAGGTTAAGTCTCCTCTGGTCTCCCACCGCCACCCTGTGGCGGTTGTATGTAACTGCAAGCTAAACTAAGCCTCTACACTGCATGCCAATGCAGCAAAAAGGAGGGCAGAGTAGTTAACAGAAGTACCAGTATATTCATGCAGGACAATATAAGTTTCTCTTACTTGGCACACACTGTCCGTTTCATTAAATTTCTTGCAATATCTTCGGAGGGAATGCTAAGAATCCAAAATGGTGACTGAAAGAAATAACAATATGAAGCTTAATTGAAAGTGGCTCCATGGCCTCATACGCTTTTATTCAAGAAGTCCATAAGGAGAAGCGCCTATTTGCTACTTTCATGTAAGAATACTGATCTGACTGCAACCAAAACAGAAATCATTCCAATAGTAAAAAAGTGCATTAGAATAATATGGTAAAAATGTTTTTATAATGACCCTATCAATGAACATATCTGCAAATTAAAGATGAATTTTGTATTTGCCCTTTTACGTAGCTTTACTAAATGAATTAAGGCATATTATATACCAAAGTATAATCTTGAAATTCATCATGGCTAATCATTCCTTAGCTATTTTATTTTTAATTTCTAAGTAATGCATTTCTCAGTTGCTAAATTAGACCTTTTTCTAGGTAGTTGTGGCCATCTGAGGGGTAAAGGAGGGGCCCTTTGAAACAACTATGATGGAAAATCTTACGTTATTAAATTCTCATTAACTTTTACTTTATATTTTGTCTAGGGGAAAAAAGTTCCCAGTGCATCCAGGGTGTTTTCCCAATTCTCCATCCCAACACCCAAGATTACAGACACTGGTAAGCTGCACCCAGATAACCTTTTGCCAGAACACAGCAAAAATCCGAAAGGATCCTGACCTCATTTCATCACCTTTAGCCAATTATATCCGGTCTCCTTCCTTCCCTCCTCCCCTAAGTGAAAGTCCTTTAGGAACAAAAGTCCAACAGGACTTTCAACTTAAGCTCTTTTATCTTTTGCAAGAAATCCTTCCTGTCACACCCAGTCTTTTTTTTTCAACTTTTAAGTTCAGGGGTACATGTGTAGGATGTGCAGGTTTGTTATATAGGTAAATGGGTCCCATGGTGGTTTGCTGCACAGATCATCCCATGACCTAGGTATTAAGCCCAGCATCCACTAGCTATTCTTCCTGATGCTCTCCCTCCCCAAGTCCCATCACCCCCAACAAGCTCCAGTGTGTGTTGCTTCCCTTGGACCTGCCCATATGTTCGTATCATTCACCTCCCACTTATAAGTGAGAACACGTGGTGTTTGGTTTTCTGTTCCTGCATTAGTTTGCTAAGGATAATGGCTTCCAACTCTATTCATGTCCCTGCAACATGATCTTGTCCCTTTCTATGACTGCACAGTATGCATGATCTCGTTTCTTTTTGTGTCTTCCATGGTGTATACGTACATTTTCTTTATCTAGTCTATCAGTGATGAGCATTTAGGATGATTCTATGCTTTGCTATTGTGAATAGTGCTGCAATGAACATACGTGTGCATGTATCTTTATAACAGAATGACTTACATTACTTTGGGTATATACCCCATCTTTTTCCTTACAATATTTACCCTCCCCAACAGAAAAATTCAAAATAATCCAAACAGGAAAAAATATTATCACTTAGTATTACTTTTATTGGGAAAATTTTTAAAGCAACCTGAATAAAATGAAATTGTTAAATTAATTATGCTAGAGCTAATCAATGAAAAATATTATGTAGCTATATTAGAGATAGAGGCCAAGTAACAACTTATGCCTATACTGACACTATCGGGTGAGAAATACAAGCTGCGGAAGAATTACAACAGGGGGAAACAAGTACATGAAAACAAGACTGGAAGGCAGCATCCAAAATTTAAGTCATGTCAAGGAAGAACTGCAAATTATTTTTTCTTTTTCTGTTTTCCAAACTTCTGTAATGCACTGATAAACTACAGTTTTATGCAAAACACAGAGCTCATAAATTCACAGTCTTACACAATGCACAATTTCAAATTTTAAAATGATTCTCAATATGAGTCCAAAATTCTGCTAAATTCTAATTCTAAACACAGCTCACGAATGGAGGACAGATCTTTTTTGAGTGAAAAGACAGATACAAATTATGACCAACTGTTGACTGAAAATTTAAAACAAATAAAAAAACTAGAAATAAATCTAAATTGCTTAACAAAACCACAATTTTTCCCAAAATATCCTGTTTATTCCATTGCCTATAGAAACAAATACAAGTATTTATAAATTTATAAAAATATAAATTTAACATATGCACTTCTTCTCTTCAAACCCAAGCTCTATTTCTAAGTATACTCTACATGGTCTAATGAAAATTTAACTTACCTTTCCATAAGTTTCTTGAGTGCTGGCGAACTGACCTCCAAAAAGTGAAAGCAAAGACTTTATTTCCTATATTGAAAATATTACAGAGAAATACATTTTAACAAAAGGAACTAAAAATCTACTAAGGGAGACAGTAATTACATGACTAAATAAAAAAGGCATAGGATGATGATCTAACTGAGGCCTTTAAGCTTCAACAATTACAATTAAAATTACAATTTAGGATTCAGAAAAAAAATCTAACAGTAAAAACCATAAGTAATTTCTGAGAGATTTTAGACAATACAAGGGTTACCAAACACTTGATTAGAAAATGCCTTGATTTTGAAAAGGAAAAAAACAGATTACATGAAGTGCAGATTAGTAAGTCTGACACTTGATGAACAAAATTAAAATGAAAATTAAACAAATCATTTGAAGATATTTGGAAATTAAAAAATAATCAGCCAGGGCATATCACTGTGTATTCATTAACCACAAATATACCAAGTTAACCTCCACCTTTCTGCATAAAATTACAGAACTAGAAAGAGAACTAACATAATAGATACTTTAAAAGCACAATGCATGTGGAGTTGAAATCTATCCAGATAGTGTTTATTTGAAGCAATCACTTTGTACTGATAAACCCAAATAATTACAAACTTTACAATTTGTATGACTAACAAGTTATCTCCTTAAATCACATAAAACAGGTAGAATCACATTCCTCTGTGTGGGTCTTATGGAGAACGTAACCTAATGAGAGGTAGGTGTCCTACTGCTGGCTGCCTACTGTCCCCTTTCCTCCCAACCAGAAAGAAGAGCCTTTAACACCAAGCCCACTATAAGGTACAGCCATCAAAAGGGAAAATATACCCAGATCAGCAAGCCTCCCACTCCAAGATTAAAATGAATGAGAAGTTCAAGCTGCTAGTGCCATTTTTATTTTTCTTTGTCTATGCAACAAATCATTGTATTTAATTCAGTGTTAGAAGGGGCTGAATTCAGTCCAATCAGATGGATCGACCAAGAACTATCACAGACTACTGGCAAATCAGTGAAGGCAGCCCAAAGGTTATTTTGCAACATGGAAAACACAAATCTGAATACAAGACATTATGAGACTTAGAAGTCAAATAGACCATAATCTGATTTTCAGATCTTCCAAGTACTAGCAATGTGGCTTTATACAAGAATCTTAAATCCTCCAACTTTTCATTCCTTCAAATGTAAAACAGGAATCATAGCTACCTCATCAGGTTAGGTGAACTTGAAAGAGAGAAGCACAGAACCTAGGCAGGTATTAACGGAATCAAGAAGTCAACCAAGACTGACAGAGTTATAACACTTCAAAGACAAAAAACAAAGCTATAGATTAAGTTACTTGATCCTGCATGATGGTGGTTTGTTCTATATTAAAGTATATTGCAAAGTCAGCTTTACATTTAAAACATCCAACTGCAACCAAGTTAAAACACCAAAGTTTGCTGCTCCTAGAATATACTGTTAAAAATTTGCAATAGGTTAAAACACAAAGATCCTAAGAGTTAGGCAGTGGAAAAAGCAAAAGATTAAAGTTTTACGGCATAGCATTATCTCTATGACCCAAAACTTAAGCAGCCACCTAAAACTGAGAACAAATGGATAACACAAGTTTCAAATTGAAAAGCAAAACATGTTTAAAGTACTTCATCAACCTACTTGGAAAAAGCAAAACACAAAATGTTCATTAATCTTACGGCAAATTCAACTTTCCAGTTGAGACTCTTTCTACATTAGGAATAAAAAAGAATTTATATTGAACACCAGATATAGAAATGTGGCATGATCTGGGGCAGGTGTGATGCATTAATTCCATGAGCTTTTCTGTTATTTCAGCTACTTGCTTTTTCATTCATTTAAAAGGTTGCTTCAGAACAAGCAATAAAACCCAGGTGTGACCTTTAGTAAACATTACTTAATACAATAAGTACTACATTAAGAAGCTGCCAACTATAATTGGTCCCGATTAACTCTATCAGAGGTAAAACTGGACCACACTTATATTCCTAATCTCTCATTTTAATTCATAAAGGCAGCCATTCATTACAGGTTCCTTGCTTAGCAGTTCTAATGCAGTAGATGGACCCAAAACTGTAGACTGTCCTTTGGATTGCCTTCCCCAGAAGGGATCCTATAACACTGATTTTAATATTTTAAGCTGCCAGGTGTGGTGGCTCCCATCTGCAATCCTAGCACTTTGGGAGGCTGAGGCGAAGAGGTAACTTGAGACCGGGAGTCGGAGACCAGCAACATAGTGAGATGCCCCACCCGCACCCACCCTCAGTCTCTGGTCAACAACCAGTCACTGCAAAAAAATTAAAACATTAGCCAGGCATAGTGGTGCACCTGTGGTCCCAGCTACTCAGGAAGCTGAGGTGGGAGGATGGCTGGAACTTGGGAGTCTGAGGCTGCAGTGATCGTCATGCCACTGCACTCTAGCCTGGAAAACAGAGAGAAAACTGTCTAAAAAAAAAAAAAAAAAAAAAAAAAATTAAGCAACTAATATGTGCAAGTCACAGAGTTATATAAAAATACATACACATTTATCTTAGGGAAATTAAGATCTAGTAGAACGAACAAAACAACCTCACAAATGAAACTTACAGTGTAAAACAGTACATGTTGTTAAAGAGGTAAAAGCAAAATTAGAGTACAAGAGAGGAAAAGATTACTTCAGTTTGAGAAGTAAGGTTTCATGGAAACTGACTTAATCCCTGAAAAAAATCTAACTCAATAACAGAAGAATTCAACTTGCAGGGATGGCAAAAGAGATAAAAGCCTCCTGCTGCAAAGAACTATAAAAGCTGGCCATGTAACTGAAGACATAGAAAGATAACAAAAATTACCGAACCAACATCCAGGAGAGGTCAGAAATTCCCAGGTGGAGCCACTTTTTCCCTGAGACATTTACCAGTCCAAAAACAGGCACTCACAAGATGGAAAGGGGAAAAAGAAAAAAAGGCCACCCAGGGGGAGAAAAGGATACTTGATGAACCACCTAGTTTACATTAGGATGTCAAAAGCTACACTTGGTGAGTATGTGGGAATCAGAATACAAACAGAGCTTAGCTCCTGAGAATGAGTTAAACCAATCCTAGACTCCTCATGCTCCTATGAGTTCCTATCTTCTTCAAGAAGATGTACATCATCCCAGACCTCCAATTATTTTTTTAAATAAATTTTCAAATACAACATCTGGCATGTATTTAAAAAACAGCCCCGCACATATATGAAAGAGAACCAAAAGAAACAACAGAAACAGACCCAAAGGATCCCTTTTATCATATACTTTAACATAATTACACTTCCCATATTGAAGGGGATTAAAGAAAAAATTAGAATTTTGGCAGAGGAGGAAAAACTACAAAAAAGGAAATCGCTGATCTGAAAAATAATCACGTAAAACATATAAAGCTAAAAAAAATAAATATGTGCTTAACTCTAAAGGAATACTTACTAGGTACGAAACAATAGATGAGAAATGGGAAACACCCAAACCAGACTAAAGTGAGCACGGGGAGCAAAAGTGAAAGCAGGAATTCACGGAATAATGAGTCAGTTTTGGCAGCACTAACGACTAGGTGGGAAGTGAGAGCACAAAGGAGAGAACCATGCAGTGTTAGACCTGGAATGCCTGACTATAGATTTTCATCTTAAGAAGAACGAGAATGTAAAACAGAACAGAGTTTTTGGAAGAATAAACTGGCACAAGGGTAATGCACTAAGAAGAATTTACAATGGAAAGAAAAAGGAAAAATCACCAAGTAATCAGGTTGCTATTCTGGAGGCCACAGTCCAACCACTCCATTGTCACTGCACTGCCTTACTTTAGGCAGTCACACTCCTGAGCCTCTCTAGTTCTACTCCAGTATTCTCTAAGTGGGATCTTTTCTCTGGCACTTCAGAATTATCTTTCTAAAACACAAATTCTTACCACCTCTCTGACCTCAATGCCCACTACTTCATCCTCCCTCCCCAAACCTCATAACCATCACACTTCTGTGCCTTTCAGTCTGTTTCTGTTTCTCGCAGAAGTGGTCTTTACAATCCTCTTCACCAACAGAACATATCCTTTGTCAATTAAGACTTAATTAAAAATTACTTCCTCCATGAAACTCAGAACATTAATACTGAATCAATGCCACAATCTTCCTTCATGACTCCTAAGGCCAATGAGTTCAGCACAACTGAAGAAAATCACAGAATCTTAGCATGATTACAGATCTGAGACCTTCACCTTCAGCTTTTTCAGCATTGCTCTAATACCTATGTTCTTCACTCGTTTTCCTCCTTGTCAACTCTCCTCTTTGCTCTCAATGAATATTTCAAGTTTTACTATTTGTCTCAATTTCCCCATTCAACTGCTGGCCCATCATCTCTCAAGAAATAACTTCCACTCATTCATTACCTAGAAAACAAGCCCTCAGGTAACTACTCTACACCCACCCTAACTTTCTTTGTCCAATTTCCCCTCTTACTGAAAAGAGATGCCCTTTTATCCCTCTCTTCCCGTGAGCCTACCAATACACTCAAGCTCAATCTCTGCTCAAACTCATTCTCTTCATGGGGAGAATTCGTCTTTGACCATAGGTCCCCCTCAAACTGTTAACCCATTTCTTACGCTCTGGCTAAGGGCACTCAGTCTATCCTATCTTCCCTTCCTCATTTTCCAGTGACCACTAAACCAAGCCATCCGGCTTCTCCCACTAAAACTTAACATATCAGCTTTAGCAAAAGTAACCAATTAATTACCTTCTAATCCAGACTATCAATGAACATTTTTTTCATTCTTTTCTAACTAAAAAACAATTGCATTCGACATTTTCCATTTGTCCCTGCTTCCTAAAATTTTACCCTTCTGATTTCTGTGGTCTCACACCCTTCTGGCACTTGCTCATCGTCTTCGTGGCCTCCTCCGACTTTCCTTTAATATCAATACTTCCAAGCACCTATACTTGGTCCACCACTCTTTTGACCTTACCCTTTGAGTAACTTCATCCCTTCTCCTAATTTTCATATGCAGAAGACTCCCAAATATTTCTCACTCGTCCAGATCACTCTGCCATACTCTATGCATATTCACATATCCACTGCCTCTTGGTCATCTCAGGTTGATGTTACATGAGCACATCAAATTCAGTGTAAACAAAAGTTAAATCTTACATTTGCCTATGTTCTCTATTTTAAATGGAGACACTCCTACCTATATCCACCCAGAAGTCATACCTGACTGGTGCCCCTTTCCCACATATTCAGTCAATTCAGCCCTAATGACTGTATGACCTAAATATTCTCCCAGTCTGTCCCACCCTCTTATTCCTTAACCTAAGGCAGACCTTCTTAATCTATTAACAAGACTATGCCAACAGACTTTTTTTTGAGACGGAGTTTCACCCTTGTTACCCAGGCTGGAGTGCAATGGCGCGATCTCGGCTCACTGCAATCTCTGCCTCCTGGGTTCAAGCAATTCTTCTGCCTCAGCCTCCCGAGTAGCTGGGACTACAGCTAGTGTCCAGCTAATTTTTGTATTTTTAGTAGAGACGAGGTTTCACCATGTTGACCAGGATGGTCTCGATCTCTTGACCTCGTGATCCACCCGCCTCAGCCTCCCAAAGTGCTGGGATTATAGGCGTGAGCCACCGCTCCCGGCCCCAGACTCTTAACTAGTCTCTGGCTCAAGTCTTATTCTTTTCAAATCCATCTTCCATAGTGTTGTCAAACTGATTTAATTTTTTGGTATCTTTTTTACTTAAAACTCTTCAATAAATCCCCTTTCCAAAGTTCCAGGGTATTCAAGGCTTTCATTTTCTGGCCCCTGTCTACTTACCCTGTCCTCTTCTTACCACTCTCTGCCACATATCTAGTGATCCAGTAATAATAATAATTGTAATTCTAATTCTTACCAACGTTATTTTGTCCTTCTACGATGAAGTGCTCAGCCCTGAGTCTGAACAGTAAGCTCCTAGAGGGCAGACGTTGTTTACGTCATCTTTAGAAGCCCAGCGTACGCATCTTCGACTACGTGCACCCTGGGAACGTTTCTTGAATAAAACACTCTTCTCAATTTCTCCATCATCTAATCCCCACCACCAACGCCTCCACTGAATTGATCCGCAGATTATGATACTTAAAACAGCAGCCTGAGCATTTGTTAGATGTCTCTATCCTCCGCGAGGCGAAGAGCTCCGGGAGTGAGAGGACCGGTCATATTCACCTGCCTAACTCCGGTACTTGGCACACGGGCAAAAGAATGAATGAAAACGTTTAAGGAAGCCGAGGGGTTCGGTCTCGGACTTCTGTCACACACTCCCACCGCCAAACTCACCCCGCCCGAGGACCGGGGACGCATGACCCGCCCTGACCAGCGCAGACCCCCGGAATCCCAACACCCTCCAGCTATGCAGATGACCTCGACCCACACATCCACTCCACTCCAGCGTCCTCTCCAGTCGGAAGTTGCGGAGGGCGCTCGGGACTCACCGGCAGACGGAACTCCAGGTGCTCCTGCGCCATGAGCAGCAGATACCTGTTAAGGGTACACGGCGCCGCCATTGCAGCTGCCCGCCGTGCGCCTGCGCGGCTCGCGCGAGGTCCCGCCTCTTTCTCCCTCCCAAAGCCAAGTCTCCGCAGAGACGGAGCCTGAAGGACCGGAAGCGGAAGCTCGGCGAGGCAGGCGCTGTCTGTGCGTTTTTTGTGCGCGGAGTCCGAAACGGTGGTCGCTGTTGAGGGGCTTCCTGACCTGGGAGTGCCAGGTGGTTGCGATAGTTCAGCGCTAGTAGCTGGTGGGCGGGGCCCGCGTGGTTTTCAGGAGAAGCGTGTGATAAGAAGACTGTATTTCCCAGTGATCTTCCCACTTGGAGTGTACTTCCAGCTTTCTCTACAACGCTTCAAATCCTGTTCTTCAAAACTGGACTGAAATTTCACCATTTCCTTGCAGACTTGTCTAACCAGCACAGCCTTCGGGCACTGATTTAGCTGGTCATTTAACACTTAGTATACTTTTCGTATTTATGTAACGACTTTTCGAGAGCACATGCCTTATAAAGCAAGTGGTCTGAGATAATCTCTTACGGTTCACTCTATCCTTAACAAAAACCAAAAGAATATCTTCCTCAAAGTACGGCATAATTCTTAGGTTGTGTTATCTGTCAGACCTAAGACTAAATTCACAACCATAAATTAAAACTTGGAGAAAGTTCACACTGGCACAGATTTCATAGTAACAGTTTATAAAATATATTTTAATTGCATATTCTACGTATATATATGACTTTTTTTTTTTTTCTTTTTGAGAGAGTCTTGCTCTGTCACCCGGGTGAGTGCAGTGGCGCAGACATAGCTCACTGTAACCTTGAACTGGGCTCAGGGGATCCTCCCACCGCAGTCTCCCAAAGTGCTGGAATTGTAGGCTCAAGCCCTCCCTCCGGGCTGTTTCTGCTCTCGAGGGTACTGAGCCCTTTGCCCTATTGAGATCTATTTCTTTCGCATTCCTCTGTGGTATTGCACAAGATGCAAAAGAGTATCTGGCATATCCCCAGCAGCATGTGCCAGAAAAGTAGTTGATGCGTAGTGTAGTGATTAAGAACACAGGTTGTGGTGTCAATATTAGATTCAAACCTCATTTCCACCATTTACCACCTATATCCTTTTCATTTCTCTGAAGCCGAGTTTTACTAAAAATGGAAAAACTGCCTCCTGCAAAGGACTGTTACAAGGATTAAGTGGAATAATGTTCAGAAAGTGTTGAATATAACATCTGGCATAGTGAATGGGGCCAACAATTGGCACTTGAGGACATTTTTCTTCTCTTAAATCACATGAGAATTTTTGTCAGCAAGAGATCTGTTTTTGTCAGGAATATGTCTCACTTGTGCTAAGTCACTCTCAGAAGCATAGATGTCTCTTGACCCCAAAACTTCAGAAAAGCGGATAAAAGTACTTTGAGACAAGAAAAGAAAGTTGTTTACTATTTGAGAAAAGAGGCTAAGGTTGGGACAGAAAACCAATGAAATGGGGGAATGATGTGCAGTGCTTGATATGCCCCATCCCCAGAACTTGTCAAATCTTCAGCAAAATTACCAAACGTATGGTATTTTGATGGGGGCAACGTTATATAGAATATCCAAGAAATGCTGATTTTTATGCCTGGATTAATATGATGCCATATAGAGGCAATAAATGAGACTACAAGGCCTGGAGAAGCCAAATGAAACCAGATGTCACTGATTTTTCATCTAGCGCCTTTGTGCTACAGTTCAAGACTAAATCTCCGCCTCAGAAATAAGCAGGTGAGTATTTACATCACGAATCTAAATTGTTGGATACATGGTCTGGGGAAGTAGAGATTAACCTTGCATAGGCCACTAAAGTTAGTATGGAACTACTGTGACATCTATTAAACTGCCTTTCTAGGACCCAGAGCCAGACCTGTTCAAAGTTTTTGAACTTTTAAGAGTGCAGCAGGAGAGTAAGGACTTTGGAAGTTTGTGGTCAAACTAACATCCAGAGATTTGCTTTTTTTTTTTTTTTTTTTTAACTGTAAGGAGCAAGGAGGTTCATAGTCTGACTTCTGGAAACTGATTCAAAGTTCCATCCATGTTACATCTTCTAGGGCAGACTTCTTAGAACCCGGCTCCTTCTACGAGACAGCTATTGTACAAAAAGTAAAGCCTCTGGCATAGGCCTCCTGTAACTAAAAATGAAGAGGGCATTCCAGGGAAGTACGGATCAGAAATGGAAAGGGGAATTTTGAGTTTTGATTTTAATATGCCACTTAAGTACTGAGGATAGTAGGACACAGAGAAATAAATAGAAAGTTAACAGGCCCCAGCAGCAGAGGTCATATGTAATATCAAAACTGCCAGTGCATCTGTCTCAGGCTGAACATCTAACACTTGAAAAGGGTCTAGGTATCACAAAGAACCATAGGGATTTGTACACCAATACGAGAGAGAAACGTTCTCTTCATATGTATTAAGACTATGATTTTTGCAGTTAGTAAACAGAGGCTTCTGATTAGTTTGGAGAATAAAATTTTATTGGAATAGGTTACATAAGAATTGCACAGAATTTACCGTAGCAAAGCATTACTGAGGTTTGAATTTCTTGATGTCCCAGAGGGGGGTCTCCCCTATTGTTCAATCTAAATGAAGATAATTTTGGAAAGAGAGAAATAATACTGCCTACTCTAAGGAAATAAGCCTGTATGAGTTGGAATTCTGAGGCACCAATTCAGACTTAAGCAGCTTGAGTTGACTTAAGTATGCCTCAGCTACTTGAGGGCAAATTTCCAACAAGATCCCCAGAAGTGGAAAAATGTAGATCCCATCCTTTGGTCAAAAGACTCCCCAAAACAAACTTGAATCCCTCGCTACCAACTATGCTCTCTAATTTGCTACCTGTAAAGCAGTTTCTATGCATAGAAAAAATGTGAAGGGAAACAGGCTGGAAACTCAAGAAGTCTTTGAATGGGATGCCATTTATCACTTTCCTTGGCAGAACATTTGAACAAGAGGTAACAAAAGATTACAGCACATTTGCCTCATCTGAGTCACGTCTTTTGTCCTCCCTTCCTTCCTAAAATCAGAAGCAATCATAATTTCTAAACAAAGAAAGGCTTCTGGCAAGTAATTTAAAGTAGGTATGCCTCTCATCTTCTAGATGCTTGTTAAATCACACAGATTCTTGTTTAAGCACAATTCCCAATAATCCCCATCTCTTGCTCCTATTTGCTTCTCATGAGTAGGAAAATTCTAATATATAGTATAGTCTCAGGTCCCATAAAAGGGCTTTTCTTGAGAGTCTACCATAACAAGGCCCAAAGGGGAATTACTTAATCCTGTAGGGCACAGGTTCTCAAACTTGGGTGCACATTGTAATTACCTGAAAAGATTTTTAAAAAAATACCAAGGCCTGGAATCTATCCCCAGAGATTCAAATTTTATTTGGCTGGGGTGTGGCCTTGACATAAAGATTTTTAGAAGCTCCCCAGTTGTTGATTTTATGTGCAGCCAAATTTAAGCACCACTTATGGCAGGAGTTGTCAAAGTGTGGTCCTAGGACAGGCAGCATCAATATCACTTGGAATCCATTTAGAAATACAGAATCGTCCCCAACTCCCAAACCTGCTGAGTCAGAAATTCTGGGAGTGGGTCTAGGAGTTTGTTTTAAAGCAGCCCACCAAGTGGTTCTGAAGCACATGAAAGCTTAAGGGTAACTGCCTGAGGAAAAGAAGGATGGCTGGATATGCTTTAAATCCCAGGAGGCTCAGGTACCACAGATAAATAGCATGTTTTATTAACTGCCTTTGAGGAGTGAACTTATATGATAAATTTGCAAAGTGTTGCAAATATTTTTCTCAGAGGAAGATGTAACAAGAAAATCTTTTACAAGCTGGATTGGTAATTAATCTTGAGAGAATCCTTTTAGCTGAGAAAATATCTTGACTAATCCTGCTTAAGTTAGGTGATTTCTTATGGGTCAGGTATGTTGGCTAGAAGTAGGGCTTCAGAGAAAGTTAAAACATGTCTAATGAGAAAGTAAGAGAAATGTGCTCCAAAAGCAATGAGTGAAGTAGAGGAAGACAGTAAGGAAGATGGCAGGAGCTATATAGCCCTGAAAAAGTTTGGCTATTAAATGCCTGAAATACCTAGCATGGATGAATTCTTGGAAACTCAGAAATTTCACAATTGAGTTATATATAGGTGGTGATATTGACCTGAAGGACATAATGCCAGGAAGGTCCAGCTGACATCTAGGTTATACCCTTGATTTTTGGATTGAAAGTTGCCTGAAATTAGGGTCTTCAATCAGATTTTGGTTTGTTATGGTAACATTTTAGGGAACTCAAGAGATTAAAACAGATTTACTTACCAGAAATATGAGTCAGTCACTAGGCTAAGGCAATGAAGATGCAAAGACAAATTTAAAAATAAACCCCCAGCCACAAAGCAGCTCAAAATCCAGTGGCAAGAAATACCTTACTACATCTTGGCTACATTGTATAAGGTCTATTCTAGGAAGATAAACAAAATACCATGAACTGAAGCTGAAGAAACAATATTGCTGAGGTTGAGGATAAGTTTCAGTGAAGCCTGCATGGATTAGGAAACATTTGAATCTGTTTCACTATGTTGAAACGACAGTATTTTCATATGAATAGAAAATATTATACTTAAAAGATATTTGGCTTAAGGATTGGTTTAAATAATGCATGATTGATTATTAATCCATCTCTATTTTTGTGATTTTAAATAACTAATCATATAATGAGGATCTCATTCTCCTCAATCAAAAGAGGACTAGATATTTTTATTAAGTTGATTTCAGTTGAGTCAGATCTATTGTTTGTATTTATATTGCAAGAATAAGAGCTGATTCATAAACAAATGAATCAACAAGTATCAGTTTCATTATAGTGACTTGGAATACTTGTACCTAGTGCATACTAAAAAAATTAATGAAAGTTGTGGGCACCAGCTTTTGTAAATGACTTTTTCATATCAAAATCTAGAAGTATGTGAGTTATAAGTGTTACAATAATAAAGGCTGTGCTCTTAACCTTGGATTCTTTATCTGAAAGAGGTGTGTTTACATCACCACAGTATACCTTTCATACACTGATCAACCATGAAAGGTGTTTATAAAACACCTTTTATTTGAATTTCTGGTTTTAGTACTACTTAAAAAGTCCAGAGTGGCAAAATTTGACAGTATTTTTTCATTTTTATTTTATTTTCTTCTAGCTAAGTAAGCACAGTTTAAAATACTCATGATAATAATTTTACACTTCCACAAATAGTATCATAACATGCATAAACAATGTTCTTAATACTACTTCAAACATTTTTAAGACAGGTTATGAATTAGCCTTGTTTTGAATTGGCTAGATGAATTAGTGTTACAGATGGCTAGATATTCAGACTACTGAAAAGGCCAAATGGATATTAATTGTAGTAATTTGATTATTAATCTTTATAAGTAAATGAGAACTTCTACTAAAAAATGTGTTTCCAAGGGTTTTTAAAAATTGGTTTATATGAGAGCATATAAACCTATAAAAGTTGAATCAATTGGCTAACCACATTTTCGAAGAGTTCCGTAAGGCATTTGGGAGTTTCTTATATACTCTACCTGTTATTGTTATAATGCTGTCAATTATATCACTGCAAGTTCCCATAGTAAAACAATCAAAGTTTGCACTTGTTGAAAATTCCTTCCCTGAAGCTGACTTTATTCCAACTGATTTAGAATCGAATAACTATATTCTAACTCATTTATAGAAACTTGTAACTGTTAATCTGTGTAAGTGCTCAGTGAACTATATCACAAAATGGTGATAAAAAACCTCTAAATCCACTTTTGAGAAACCATAACCCCTTCTTCCATATCCTTTCTCCACCTTCAGTAAATAAGATGAAATCTGGACATTCACATCCACTGTAAAGTAAGTAACAGTGGAAGCAGAACTCAAGGAAAATACATGTGCGTTTCTCGGCCTAACCAGTCACTGTCTACACACCTAACATTCAGTCTTAAATATTCAGTTCTACTACCACCCATTCTCAGAAGTGTTTCTCCCTTCACAGCCTCTTCTGTGGCATCATAGCACTTAACACACTAAATTCTAATCATTGACTTTGTTTGACCCCTGTACTAGCAATTGCAGGCTGAATTGTCTGTTTTCATTTCTTTATCTCCTGATCCAGGCAATGTCTGGTACACATTAAATGCTCAACAAATGTTTGCTGAATGAATAAATTAATGAACAAATGAAACAGTATTGATTTCACATGTTGTAACTTTGTAATAAGTAATTTGTTACTTAAAACCATATTTAATATATGCCCCCTCTGAAAAAGAAAACTAGTATATCAGCCTATTTTCAACATTACATTAATCCTCATGTTCATTTATTCATACTCGTATACATGGTACTATTATACATTGGCACAATGTAGGATTAACTTTCATTCATTCATACTCTTCATTCATATTCACTATTGTGACTGCAGATTAGCACCAAAAAAAACAATTTCTAACAAAATATGCCTCATAAAATGATGTATCAATAATATAGCATTGTGTTATCAAATTTTCTCATCTAAGCCCATCTCTACTTTCAAATGCCTTTTTCATGATAAAAAGCAAAGTTTAACCGCTTTTTATTCTGATTTCTCTTTGATACAAAAACATGCCATAAAGCAACAGTTTCTGCTAGTTTTATTAAGAGAACCACTTTATGTTTCTTCCCCCTTTATGTTATTACAGACAAATTCCATTACAGTGAATTCTGATAGCCAATTTGACAGTTGTTGTAAATTCACTGATAGAAATTATATATATTATATAGCTTTCAGAATAGATTTATTAAAAAGATTCAAAGCTTCAAGAAGTGAAAACTGGCATCTGAAATTTGAGGAAAAAGCGGCAAATATATAATTACTTCCCTCAACAAGATCAGAGATTATTGTGTAGTATGGTATTCTTTATTTTGAAAATTTATGTGTAAAACTATAGAACTGTCAAGAAATAGCTAAGTTATTTTTCTCCTTCACAGTAATGAAGGTTCCAATAAAGTACTTTCTATAGTAGTTTATTCTTCATAAATAAATCACTATTATAATTGACCAATGAGAAATGAAAATATTTAACTTAAAAAAATACAGAGCCCTTCTTGATTAATAGAATTTGTCTTAAATAGGATTTTATCTATAGTATCATATATATAAAAGCCTTAAAACAAGTAATCATTGAAACAAATAAGTCAGTAACAAAATATTCTTATAAGTGTAACACAGATCTCAGGAAATAGACATTCAGAAAAGATTTAAGGCCACTCAGTAATATCCTCTCATAAAACCCAACAAACCTTAAAATTGCAATTAGACATAAAAGGGACCTAAATATTACTTCATGCTGAGCCAAAATTAGAAAAATCTTCTACTGTTGACATTTTCATGTTCTTAGTTTTTCAATCAAATGATCAGCCTGTAATTAAAAAAAAAAACTTTAATTCTAGATATCACACCTCTATCAAATAATTCTACTAGTATCCCTATTATAATATGCCACATTAGAAGAGTTGAGTACTACATTTTCTGTTCCTAAAAATATCTTACAAAAAAAACCTCTTGGTATAATATAATATCTATACACAGTTATTCTACATTGTATATAAATAGGCAGATTGTTGCCTACATTGCAAATTCATTAACAAGTTTCAAGAAGAAAAGGAAAATAAATATAACACTAAACTTTTAAAAAGTAAAGTAGAACCCTAAATGCATATTTTAAGTTAAAGAAGCCAATCTGAAAAGACTACATACTGTAGTATTCCAACCATATGACATTCTGGAAAAGGCAAAACAATAGAGACAATAAAAATATCCATGGTTGCCAGGAGTTAGAGGGGAAGAAGGGATAAATAGGCAGCATATAGAGGATTTTTAGAGCAGTAAAACTATTAGGTATGATGTTATAATGGTGGATACATGTTCTTATACATTTGTCAATACCAATGAATTGTAAAACCAAGAGTCAACTCTAAAATAAACTATGGACTGTGGTGATAACAATTTGTCAATGGGGTTCATCAATTGTAACAAATACACCACTGTGGTGTAGGATGTGATAGTGAGGAAACTGTACATGTGGTGGGGAGGGGGTGCATGGGAATGCTCTGTAGTTTCTACTCAATTTTGCTGTGAACCTAAATCAGCTCTAAAAAAAAAAGTCTATTTTTTTTTAAACTTTGTAAACTAAAGTCTTTTAGGTACATCATTTCAGTGTTTTTCTCAATCACACTATATAATCTGGATCATTAAATAAGATTTTTTTTTTTTTTTTTTTGAGACGAAGTTTCGCTCTTGTTACCCAGGCTGGAGTGCAATGGCGCGATCTCGGCTCACCGCAACCTCCGCCTCCTGGGCTCAGGCAATTCTCCTGCCTCAGCCTCCTGAGTAGCTGGGATTATAGGCATGCGCCACCATGTCCAGCTAATTTTTTGCACTTTTAGTAGAGACGAGGTTTCACCATGTTGACGAGGATGGTCTCGATCTCTCGACCTCGTGATCCACCCGCCTCGGCCTCCCAAAGTGCTGGGATTACAGGCTTGAGCCACCGCGCCCGGCAAATAAGATTTTAAAATAAACTTCAATACCTTTATCCTGATTTTTTTCAAAGTCTCATAAGATATATTAACAAAGTCAGATTTAAGAAGAGTTCAGATTCTCAGGATGAACCACATCAACATATCTTATAATTTTGTCCATTGATGTTTTCCAAGTTAAAAAGTCTTTCATGTGAGAAAATACAGTCAAAACATTACAAAAATGTATTTTTGTTCATCTTTTATTATAAAGGTGTAGCTCTTATGGAAAATTAGAAATAAAAATAAGAAAAAAAATCCTTTTCTATTACACTAACTTTGTAAAAAAAATCAAACCAGCTGCCATGCAGAATGTGCCACATTTAAAAATTTCAAATACATACACACACGTATATATACATATATGTATCTTATATTTTTTTTAATTTTTAATTTTTTTTGAGACAGGGTCTTATTCTGTCACCCAAGCCGGAGTGCAGTGGCATGATCACTCACCCTTGATCTCCTGGGCTGAAGCGATTCTCCCACCTTAGCCTCTGAAGTAGCTAGGACTACAGGCATGCACCACCATGCCCAGCTAATTTTTATATTTTTATATGATTTAAATAAAATCATCTAGGCAGCAAGTTGAAGAAGGGATAATATGTTTGAAATATGAAGTTTCTAGAAATTAGATACTTAAGTGATACCATTCATTAACTAATGGTAAATAAATACTATTTGATGATTATTCTTATATGGCAACTATAGATCACTTCATCATCATGGACACATAAAATAACACCCTGGTAAGTTTCTGGTCAACTGGTCATAGAGGGACAAGAGTCACTTAATAGCTAAGGGTTGACTTTCAGACCACAGGTGTATAAACAGCAGAATTTTACTCCACTTTTGTTTTAGCAAAGCAGAATGTGGTAATTTTTTACACTTAAAACTTTGGGCCAGGCACAGTGGCTTATGCCTGTAATCCCAGCACTTTGGGATGCCAAGGCAGACATATCACAAGGTCAGGAGATCGAGACCATTCTGGCCAACATGGTGAAACCCCATCTCCACTAAAAATAAAAAAAATTAGCTGGGCGTGGTAGTACACGCCTGTAGTCCCAGCTACTCAGGAGGCTCAGGAAGGAGAATCGCTTGAACCTGGGAGGCAGAGGTTGCAGTGAGCTGAGATCACACCACTGTACTTCAGCCTGGTGACAGAAGGAGACTCCATCTCAAAAAAAAAAAAGTGGTTTTTTTTGACCACAGATCTGGTAGGTGATGCTACTACTACAAGTCTTTTTCAAGGAGTTTAAACTATCAAACAATACAAAAACTTAATTTCTACAATAATGATGGTATAACAATAGAGGTAGCAAGGTAACATTTCCTGACTACTTACTATTGCAAGGTACCATTTTAAGTGCTTTACATATAAGTTATCTCATCAACTCTCTTATCAACCCTAGGTGTAGGCACTGTTACCTATACACAGGTAATAAAGACTTTGAGCCTTAAACAATGTTAGTAACTTTCACATGGACCCTCAAGTAAGCAATGCAGCCAGAATTTGAATCCAGATCTGACTCAAAAGTCAGAACTCTGAATATCATGGTTCCCTTATATTGTATTCGCTACCTGCAATGAGAAAGACTTAGCCATAGCTTTTTTTCCTACAGACTGATGATTGTGAAAATCCCCCAAATTAAAAATATTATTTGGATATGTGCAAGTAGTATGTTAAAACAGGTCATCAAGCCTATGAGAGCTGTAAGTGCCTACTGTTGAGAAGAAAAAACTACAATGAAAAGGACAAATATTTTAAATATTTATGTATGCTGCTGACATAACAAGAATACTCACTGTGATAAACCAATAGGAATTGACTCTATAAACCAACTTGGATAAGAAGCCAAGCTGATCCACTGGTGCCAGAACATGAAGGTGCAAGTGGGAAATAGAACAGAATGGAGGCATATGAAAACCCATCCTAAAACAGAAAAGGAAACGATGATTGACAAACCAGTTCTACAATAGTTTAAAGCCATTTTTCAGGTGAAAACATGTAAATATTAACGAGATCCAAAATAAGTACCTAAGGTAAACAGACTGTGACAACTCTTTTTCCTGTTTCTCTTTATGTACTTCAGAGGATTAATGTAATTCCTCTTCTTTTCACGTCGAAGTTCATAGTAACATAAGCTCATCATCAAGGAAGGCCTTAACAGCATATTATGCCTTGGTATAATCTTTATGAATTCTGAGTTGGCATAATGCCTTATCACTTCAGTCCTTATCATCTTAAGCTTTCAGTCTCTTAAAATGTGCTCTTGCAATGAATTTTTTAAAACATCACTTGACAGTCAAGTAGCAGTGTTCCTTTATTCAATACACAGCCAGTAGATGGCATACGTTTTCTTTTAATAAAGTACTCAGACATTTCCTACCAAACCAGTATTCAATAGTGAGATTAATTATGTCATCATAAAAAAAAAAAAAAACTGTCATCATCACCCAGGTTTCTTGTTTAATACTTAAAATTAGTTAAATGATAATTATAATTATGTGCTTTCTAAAAAATACACGAGAATTCCTTTAAATGGTTAAAAAGTTTTTAAAATATGATTTAAACTCTTAAAAATAAGCTTACAAAAAGTTGTGCAAGTCCACTTATGTTCAGCAGAGCAAAGCACACCTGTAACAATAATCAAAGCCTAGAAATATTTGCCTGTTCAAGCTATCAGTGAGTGGAAGTGTGGAAGTGAGGCATAAGAGAAGTGCTATACCACAGCCGTGATCCTCTGGGACTAGCAATGTGGAGCCAGACATGCAGTACATACTTTAAAATTTCCACCACTACCTAGAAGAGGAGACTAGGTTTCCTTCTGTGAAAAAGAAATATAATGTAAAATCAAGTAATCTGGAAGCTTGAAGCAACTCAAAGTTTCACTCAATCTTTTCATCTTAAAGCTGGGGAAGCCACGATCCAGAAAGTTTAAAATACTTCCCAATGTCACAAAGTTAGATAGTCATGGAGCTGGGGTTGAGACTCAGAGCTCTTGATTCTTTGTCCAGTATTCATTCTTCTAATAAGCATCCTATGACTGGGAAGGAAATGTGTGGCTACTGGCCAAAGGGTCTCAAACAACATCTGCTCCTTGTCATTATCACACTTGGTAACGCTTAACAGTTTTCAGAGGATTTTTCACACGAGAATCTCATTTGCGCCTACCATTAGACAGAGCAGGTATTATCTTGGAGAGGCTAAAATGGCATGTCTAAACTAATACAGACAGTGTAAAAAGAGTACACCACAAGTAGCATGGACAGCATTAGAATTCAAGCCCATTCTGAATTCTAGGTCAAAAGGGTTAGAAATAATCCCCATTATACCTGCTTGTGTCACAGAAGCAAAATGATAAATCTCTTAAAAAGAAAAACATTACTTAGATAAATTAAAACATTTTAAAAGGCTGGCATGATGGCACAATGCCTGTAATCTCAGCACTCTGGGAGGCCGAGGCGGATGGATCACTTGAGCTCCAGAGTTTGAGACCAGCCTGGCCAACATAGAGAAACTCTGTCACTACTATAAATACAATAACTAGCCAGACGTGGTGGCATGTGTCTGTAATCCCAGCTATGTGGGAGGCTGAGGCAGGAGAATCATTTTTTTTGGAACACTGTCTCAAAAAAAAAAGTTGATAAACTGAACATCATGTACTTACGCCAGAGTTTAGCAGACAACAAATTCAAGTTAATTTCATGTTAGAATTATAATGTTTTTAAATCATATAAAATTTTATAAGAAAATTCAACTTGCACACAGTTTTATAGGAATGCACATATTGAACAAAGAAAAGTAGACATGCTGGCTGTGGTGACTCACACCCTGTAATCCCAGAACTTCGTGAGGCTGAGGCAGGAATATCACTTGAGCGCAGAAGTTTGAGACAATCCTGAGCAACATAGGGAGACCCTGTCTCTACGTAAAAAATTTAAAAACTAGCTGAGTGTGACAGTACTCACCTGTGGTCCCAGCTACTCTGGAGGCTAAGGTAGAAGGATATGGTAGTTTGGGAGGCTGAGGCTGCAATGAGCCATGATCACACCACTGCCCTCCAGCCTGGGCAAAAGAATGAGATCCTGTCTCAAAAAAAATTTTTTTGAAAAGTAGACTTGTAACAATTTTACCTACCCCACTGCTCATATAGACTTGTCTGTCCAAACTATAAGTGGAAATTATTGGAAGATATTGAGACACAAGAAGAAGTTTCATTAAATTTATACTACCAATGAACTATATTATCACTTTCAGGAAAACTGTATTTATCACAAACTGCTACCTCTGTTTCCATTTTCCATGAAGAAATAACATTTCAAAAAAAGCCAATAATGTATAATATTGGTTTCCATTTGGAAGTATACACACCTCACATTTGTGAAGTCAGTGAAATTATTCCTTTCAAGAATGGTTTTTCCAACAGTTACCATGTTCTCAACTGTAAAACAAAAAAGACACAACATTACACTAGAGGAGATATTAAGTTCACAAACTGCCATTGATCTTCACTCAATGGCAAATGGGTAAACATTTAAAGACACATTCAGGCCAGGCACAATGGCTCACCCTTGTACTCCCAAATCCCAAAGCTTTGGGAGGCTGAGGCAGGAAGATCACTGGAGCCTAGGAGTTTGAGACCAGCCTGGGCAAAAAAGCAAGACCTTGTCTCTACAAAAAAAAAATTTTTTAAGTAACTCAGCATGGTGGTGCACACCTATAGTCCTAGCTACTTGAGAAGTGGAGGCAGAAGAATTTCTTGAGCCCAGGAGGTTGAGGCTCCACTGAGCTGACTGTGCCACTGCACTCGGCCTAGGTTAAGAGAGTAAGACTCTGTCTCAAAAATAAATAAATAAAATAAAGACATTCAGTAGCTTTAAGTCACTGAGAAGTCTGCTTATCAATAACTGAAATAAAGTTTCAAATTGAGCCCCAGGGCAACATCACTATTACAAAATTTCACAAATAGGCAGATTTTGAGACAGCTGTTGAAAAGTATTATCAAGTGGCTATTTAGGACATCTGATCATATGAGGACTAACTCTGATTGTAAGAAGACCAAGTAATTAAACAGAAATTGTTTGATTTAATAAGACAAGAAAATTTGGAATTTGTCTTTGAGCACAAATTAAGGATATGGTATCCCTTCCAGACAGCCTATCCTTGACTAGCCAAACATCTGTATAATGACTTTGGCTTCCAAATTCCATTTGCTTTATCGTCTCTCTTGGTGTTTTATGGCCTTCAGGTGGGAATAAACCTCCCCATCAGAAAAATTTCGGTAACCTAGGATCTTCAAAGCTCAATGCCAAACATTAGGCCTCTGTAGTTTCTAAATGGTGTAATCATGTGTTTGAAAGAGAAGTAAAAAAATCTACAGAGGATAGCTGATATATTGAAACTTACAAAATCATTGTTAATGTTTACTTCTTTAAGTCAGGCTTGAGCTAGGAGATTGCCAGCCTTCCATGACTAGGCCAGTACCAAAGAGACCAAAAAAAAGCTCCAAACTGCTTCAAGCCAGACTATATCTTTTTTTCTGTAATTTGTTATTTTTCTAATTCAATTCCACTGTCTTTAGAAAACATATTTATAAGATTTCAATCATTTGATACGTATTGAGCCATATTTTATTGCTCAGAATATGGTCAACTTTGGTGAACATATGGTTTTTAAAAAACATGTATGCTGTATTTAAGAAAAGATCTATAAATGTAAACTACAGTCATATTCCTCAATAGTGTTAGTGAACTCTTGCATATGCTTATTGTTTCCTCAGCTTTCTAGATTATATCAAAATTATTAATTTGTAACAACTTTTAGTATGTAAATATTCAAATATAACACAAAAGCAAATAGAAAAATGTAATGGAATCCTAAATACCTACCAGCTGCTTCAAAATTAGCAACATTTGATTTGCAAGTTATAAAAACTAGTTATAACAACAGCCTCTATTCTCTACCTTGCTGAAGATAAATTGAAAAATTCCTAAAAAGCTAAAGTGTGAAATCTAAGAAATAACTACAAGAATGAAAATAGAAACTTTTAATAAGCAAATGAAATGTTTCAATCAGGTAAATCTAAATTCGATCTAACTGTTATAAGCTCAAATGCTACGCTGTAGTTATAAATCATATATGTTCTGAAATGTACTGAAAAAACTTCAAATGACTAAAGCGCTTTGCTGTATTCAGAATAAACAGTTTAAAAATAGCCTAATGTTTAGGCTAATTCATTAGCCTAAACATTAATGAACTACACATGAAGGTTTTCCATCAAAGTGGTTTCTTAGTCATCTTTTAAAAATCTAGCCCAATTGATCTATCGTGTAGGCTACCTTGAAATATTGACCAAACCAATTCCAGACCCTCATGACAAAGGCTTTCCAGGTTTCAGAAGTTCCAGCCAGAGCAATCGGGCAAGAGAAAGAAATAAAAGGCATCCAAATAGGAAAAGAAGTCCAACTATCTCTCTTCACCAACAAGATGAGTCTATACCTAGAAAACCCTGAAGACTGCACCAAGAGGCTCCTGGAACTGATAAACCACTTTAGTAAAGTTTCAGGATATAAAATCAATGTAAAAAAATCACAAAAACGTTCAAACTGAGAGTCTCAAATCAAGAATACAATCCCATTTACGATAGCCACACACAAAAAAATATCTAGGAAAATAGCTAGTCAAGGAGGTAAAAGAACTCTACAAGGAGAACTACAAAACACTTCTGAAAGAAATTGTAGATGATACAAACAAATGGAAAAACATTCTATGCTTATGGATTTGAAGAATCAATATTGTTAAAATGGTCATACTTCCCAAAGCAATCTACAGATTCAACACTACCAAAACCACTTTTTACACAACTAGAGAAAACTATTTTAAAATTCATATGGAACCAAAAAAGAGCCCAAGTAGCCAAGACAATCCTAAGCAAAAAGAACAAAGCTGGAGGCATCACATTATCCAACTTCAAACTATACTATAAATCTGTGTAACCAAAACATCATGATGGTGGTACAAAAACTGACACATAGACCAATAGAACACAAAAGAGAACACAGAAATAAAGCTGCACATCTACAGCCATCTGATATTCAAAGTTGACAAAAATAAGCAATGGGGAAAAGGACGCCATATTCAATAAATGGTGTTGGGATAGCCAGTTAGCTATATGAAGAATGAAACTGGACCCCTACCTTTTCCCATATACAAACATTAACACAAGATGGATTAAAGATTTAAATGTCAGACCTCAAACTATAAGAATCCTAGAAGAAACCCTAGGAAACACCCTTCTGGACATCAGCCTTGGGAAATAATTTATGACTAAGTCCTCAAGAGCAACTGCAATAAAAACACAAACTGACAAGTGGGACCCAATTAGAGAGCTTTTGTATAGCAAAAGAAACTATCAACAGAGAAAATGCATAACCTACAGAATGGGAAAAGGTATTTGCAAACTTTATATCTGACAAAGGTGCAATATCCTGAATCTGTAAATAACTTATTAAACAAACAACCAAAAAACACCATGAAATAACGGGCAAAAGACATAAACAGACACTTCTCAAAAGAAGACATACAAGAGGACAGCAAATACATGAAAAAATGCTCCACTAATCATCAGAAAATGCAAATCAAATCCACAATAAGATACTATCTCAACACCAATCAGAATGGATATTTTTAAAAAGTAAAAAAATAACAGATGCTGGTGAGGCTAAGGAGAAAATATAACACTTATACATTGTTGGTGAGAATGTAAATTAGGTCAGCCATTATAAAAAGCAGTTTGGAGATTTCTCAAAAAAATTAAAATAGAACTATCATTCTACCGAGCAATCCCAGTACTAGGTATATAACCAAAAGAAAACAAATTATTCTACCAAAAAGACACATGCACTTGTATGTGAATCACAGCACTCACTATTCACAATAGCAAAGGCATGGAATCAACCTAGGTGCCCATCAGCAGTATACTAAAGAAAATGTGGTACATATATACCATGTAATACTATGCAGCTATAAAAAAGAATAAAGTCATCTCCTTTGCAACAGCACAGATGCTAGTGGACATTATCCTAAGTGAATTACACAAGAACAGCAAACCAAATACTCCCTGTTCTCATTTATAAGGAGAGTCTAGACATTGGGTTACTCATGGACAAAAAGATGGCAACAACAGACACTGGGGACTACTAAAAGTGGTACAGAGAAACGGGGGCAAGAGCTGAAAACCTAACTGTTGGGTACGATGCTCACTGCCTGGGTAACAGGTCATTTGTGTCCCAAACCTCAGCACCATGCAATATACCCATGTAATAAACCTGCTCATATACCCCCAAATCTAAAATATAAGTTAAAATAATTTTTTAAGGCAGATTTGAAGTGAGGTTATAAATATCTTAGAAAATGGTAAATGACAAGTCACAGAAGGCACGAGTAGGAAAATAAAGAATAATCCCCAATAGACAAGATTCAGAATCTGCTTTTCAGAAGCTAGAAGTTCATCTCTAAAAACTCATAATTAAATTTTGGTGCTAATTCACCTTCATAGGAGATTATAAGGGAGGTACCAACATGATCTCACTGTAAGGCAATATGAGCTAATTTGTAATGTTATAAGTTGTTTATCATTTTTCATAGCACCATTCATTTCAGAGTCAAGAAAGTCTATCATTTTAAAAAATCATAAAAATAGTCCAGGCCTGCCGCTGGGCGCGGTGGCTCAAGCCTGTAATCCCAGCACTTTGGGAGGCTGAGGCGGGTGGATCACGAGGTCAAGAGATCGAGACCATCCTGGTCAACATGGTGAAACCCCGTCTCTACTAAAAACACAAAAAATTAGCTGGGCATGGTGGCGCGTGCCTGTAATCCCAGCTACTCAGGAGGCTGAGGCAGGAGAATTGCCTGAACCCAGGAGGCGGAGGTTGCGGTGAGCTGAGACCGTGCCATTGCACTCCAGCCTGGGTAACAAGAGTGAAACTCCATCTCAAAAAAAAAAGAAAAAAAATAGGCCAGGCCTGGTGGCTCACACCTATAATCCCAACACTTTGGGAGGCCCAGGTGGGCGGATCACCTGAGGTCTGGAGTTTGAGACCAGCCGAGCCAACATGGTGAAACCCTGTTTCTACTAAAAATACAAAAATTAGCCGGGCATGGTGGTACGTGCCTGTAATCCTAGCTACTTGGAAGGCTGAGGCAGGAGAATCACGTGAACCCAAGAGGCAGAGGCTGCACTGAGCCAAGATCACGCCCCTGCATTCCAGCTTGGGTGACAGCAAGATTCCACCTAAAAGAAAAAAAAAGTCATAAAAATATATTCTCTTTTGGAGAGTTTAAAGGTTAAATAGCATGACGTCTGGTGTTTGCTTCAAAATCACTGTGAGATAAGGTTAATATATTTTTTAAAATTTTCTATGAGTTACTAAATGTGGAAGCTGTGTAATGAATACATGAGTATTATACTATTTATTTTTGTATGAATTTAAAATTCTTTATAGTGAAAATTTCAAAAAGTCTTAGTGCTCCTTTTTCACAGTACTTAACTAGACTTTTTCTTTGTCATCTTCACTACCATCACTGATACCAACTGAAGATGATATAAACATGAAGAATACTGCCACCATCTTACCCAGTTCTACTTGATCTTTCCCTAGAGATCTGCAGTTTCCAATGTGCTTCTTTGGCACCACAAGATAATGATGAGTTGCTGCTGGTTTGATATCTTTGAAGCAAACTAGGTCCTCATTCTAAAGGAAAAAACATTTGTTAGTGAATTTTTAAAAAGAATTTCTTAATGCTGTTCTGGCATGACTTAAATAGCATTAATCTCAGCCTGACAGAGAAATGATACTTATGTTACCACTAAGCTACACTGGGCAATTTTATAATTATGCATAAAGTTCATAATGCTTCCTTCATGAGATGCTCACTTATTCTAAAGAATAAAAAGACACAAAAGGCAATTTCAGGGAAACAATTATGAGTAAAGTTCACTAAAACTTCATTACCAATAATCTTAGAGTTTATTATTTCATTACACATTTCTCCATCCCTACCCTAAGGTTTTTTTTCACTCTTAATACATATTTTTAAAGGTTTGGCTACAGAATCACAGCAAGATAAATGCTTTTCTATATTTAATTTTTTTCTCAATGCAGCATTTTCCTCAATTATAAAAAGAACATCAGCTAGCATGTACATGTCCAGGGATTCCATTTTTTAAACATTTTTAAAGTAATTGTATCCAAATACTTTTTACTTGCCACTTTACAGTATTAAAAAGACTGAAATGCTGAAACAAATTCCAGTATATTGTACTAATTTATGGGCCCACTATAATACATGTATGGCATTTTCTAGTTTATATTACTCCACACCGTAATCTATAGAAAAAAGGAAAGGAAAGGAAGAAGAGAGTGTTTCAACCTATTAATATTTGAGTTTCAAACTTTCCTAAGAGAAAATCTATATTCTCTAAATAACCCTATTAAATATCTAGTAGTGAATAAATTATTCAGTATCTGATTTTAATTCATTTTCGTTTAATATAAAGTAAAAATGAATTAAAATCAGTATAAGCAGAATTTCCCTTAGAAAAAATCCCTGAATGCAATGCTGCTCAATAGTTCTCTATTCCAAGAGCCAAGATTTAATTCAAACAAGTGCCTCATGTCCATTCCAGTAATTCTTTTTATCCTAAGATAACAAACATGACAATTACATATCAATTTGAATCCATTTTTATTATGATTTTTCTGTCTAGTAGTAAAATTAAAAATTGATATCCATGGAATGTTTTAGAAAAGGATAAGATCAAGGACTACAATGTTTTTGATTATTTAAAATTTTCCTTTTTTTCTTTCTTTGAGACAGGGTCTCTCTCTGTAGCCCAGGCTGGAATGTAGTGGCACATTCACAGCTTATAGCAGCCTCAAACTCCTGAGTTCAGTCGATCCTCCCACCTCAGCCTCCCAAGTAGCTGGGACTATAGATGCACACCACCAGGCCAGGCTATGGATATGTATATTTTTTGTAGAGATGGGGTCTCCCTATGCTGCCCAAGCAAGTCTCAAACTCCTGGTCTTAGGCAATCCTCCTGCCTCAGTCTCCCAAAGTGCTGGGATTACCATTATTTCTTTAATGCTTCCAGCTCAGAAATAATTAAAATTGGGGGTCAAATCTAGTACAATAAAATTGCCACAATCGTACTTCCCAGACTGATTCATAACACAACAATGTTATATATCTGTATTTCCACTCAGTTATGACATTAAATTTTTAAAATCCAGATGTAATTCTTTCTGGTACAGAATACAACCTGGTTAGAACTAGTTTGAGATGAAGTAGTTGAACTCTACCTCACAGCAGGAATGACACTTCTTTAGATTAATAAAACTAGCAAGTGCCAGTCTAATGGCTAGCAGGAGCTAAAGAGGTTCCTAAAAATCTGCTCTCTCACACTAAACTTAGCCATAAGAATGAACCAAAATGCTTAGTTTTGTCTTCTAACCTCTATATTAAAAGGTTTTGTTTACTGTCACATATAAATAATGTATTTTCCCAATCTTAATTAATTTCCCAATCCCAATCCTAATAAAAACTACCAATCAACATGACTCTCATCACCAGAAATAGATAAAATTCCTGTGAAAAATAAAGAAACTTGAAGTTTTAGTTAGGCTATATCCTGACTGAATTAGATTTTCACTAAGCTTTCTGAAATATTGAAACTAGCTCTGATGTCACTCTTTCTGCCATTACTACTGTTGTTCTAGGCATATTTTACATGCTTCATCTTAAGAAAAATGATCCTTATTCCATAATACACTGGCAAAAAACATAAAATTATATATATATACACACACACACACACACACACACACACATATATATATATATATATTCTTTGAAACATAATTCATGATAGCAAAAGACTGAAAAATAAACCAAATCTTCACAATGCATCTGGAAGACTGGTTTAATAAATTATGGCAAATCCACACAAGGAAGTATTGTGTGGTTGTAAAAAGGAATGAGGATGATCTTCATCTATATATGAAATTATTTCTATGATATATTCAAGTTTAAAAAAGAAATACCAAGGAGCAAGAGAGTGGTTAGGCTATCTTTTGTGTGTAAGAAAGAAGAATACAAATACAGACATATGTATACCTATTTACTCAAAATAGAAGGATACACTAAAAGTTTTTAAGTTTCTTATGGAGAAAGAGATGACAAGAGAATGGATGTCAGATTTCTCCAAACGTACCTTGCTTTAAAATTTTGACTCTGAAAACATGTAAATATTTAACATGTATATTTCACACTTTACAAGAAAAAAAGAACAGTCCCTAAAAATCGAAAACAAACAAAAATAAATGAACCTAACTATATGTCATGTTGGTAGCATAATCATTCCATTCAAAGAAAAGAATGATTTCAAGTGACTTAAAGGTACAGTATTTTGACTATCCATCCCTAATGACATCAACGAAAAGAGCATTTTCGTTCCTGCACTCAATTCAGATCATAGGAAACCTCCTCAAGTATGGGGCATGCCATATTCATCTTTGAACTCCACATAAAGTATGCCTGCAAAACTGCTGAATAAATAAATGACAGACACTCCATAGAAGATAAAGTTACTGATACACCCTCCTCTATCCCTTAAAAATGTTTTGTGTCATTTGGGTTTTCAGGTTTTTCCCAGGAACAGAAATGGGTTTTCCATGATCTTTCAGTTTCTCCTTGCAAAAACCCCGTCTTAAATTGGAATTGTGGCCATTTTTGAATTAGATCAGTATTTCTCAACCTTTTCTCACTATCATCTCCCTAAGGAGCCTTTATAGATGTTTTCTGATTGCCCCTTCCCATGATGTTTTAATGTCACAGATATACTGTATATATGTTTATGTTCTGTATGGTATATCTATGCTTTACATATTAAAAAAATAAAAATTGTTTTTCTCCTGCCACCTCTGCTCCACTCCAGGCAAGAACCAACTTTTATCCCTTTAGGTAATGCGTAGATTAGAGGAAGAGCTAGACTATACTGACTTCGTTATCACCACTGACTCTAACCATCAATTTAAATATAATGTATAACTGCTTCAGATTTCTTTAAATCTGAAAACCCAAATAGGGCAGATTGGCACTCAACTTCCATTCTAAATTATTTCTGTGCTTTCTGTAATGCAGAACTAAAAAAGCTAAAAATGTCAGACAGAATTTAGATTTTGCCAATCATAAAGCCATGATTTTGCTGCTTCTGTTATCCATGTCGGAAACTTTGCCAGCTCCAAGACTACAAAGACAAGTTTTTCTTTTCTTTCTTGTATCTTTCTCCCCCTCCCCCTTTTGAATACCTTATCATTAGCTTCACGAATGTCAAAGAATGGTGAGACATCCATTTTTTTATTGAAACAAAGCTGTCAGCATGGACCCAGCAGACAGAGTATGGCTCTGAAGCAGTGTTTCTCAACCAGAGGTGGAAATATGTAGGTGCTCATTTGATCATAGATACTACTGAAATTTAGTGCACAGAGATGAGGGATGCTAACCATCCTGCAAAGGGAGAAATAGTCCCACAAAACAGAGTCCTATACAAAATGCCAATAGCATTCTCACTGGAAACATCACTTAAAAATAGCAGTCACATTGCTTCTTCATCTCTGAATCACACCTAAAGAAGCATCTTTCTGAGACTAAAGTTCTAATGGCAGCTACCTGATTTCTGCCTTCCTTACTCCGTCAGGGAAAGCAGTCCTCCCATAAACCAGTTCTGCAGTGCTGGTCTGGGTGTCATTTCTGAAGAATATTCTAGAACCTGCTCCACCAGGACTTCTAATGATTTTTTTTTTAAGCAAATGATTCCCTACATTAAATCAATTTCTGCTTTCAATAACTAGAATTTTTTTTTCCAGCAACTGAACCCTGACTGATAGCTAAAGCAAATTTTTAGAATAACATTTGAAAAAACATTTCAGTATCACGTCATCTAAGGCGTTAGGCAAAATTTGATTAAAGAAGGGGGACAATGTTCAAGTTAAATTGGCACTGAGTTATTTCCTCAGTATAGTCCCAAGCAAGGTAAGTTCTAGTCCAGTGTTTCTCAACTATGTTTTCATTATTGCTTAAGACTTTTTTCCCCCAATCCCATTTCCAAGAGATTTTAATACTGCCGTTATACTCTGTTTACTCTATGTATATGTCTGCCTATACATGAAAGACTAAGATATTGTCCCCCCACAACCCAGAACGAATTTTCACCCCCTTGGGAGTGTCATCTGCCCCACTGAGAAGGCATGCTTCAGTCTTTGCTTAGTTTTAAATCTGCAGCATACAATTAGACAACACCATATGGAGGTTTAGGGAGTGAAGAATCTTCTATAGATTTTGCTGGAAAGGTTTTCCAGACTAATCCCTCATGATGCTGTTAACGCCAATTAGTCAAAATGGAAATTTTTATCTTCTGTACTTGAATTATGCTTTATATAAGCCCAACAGTTTCTAAATGTTTACAATTAAAATATATAAATGAATATGTGAATGTATAATGTAAACCATCAAATTATGTAACTATTCTTTTTTAAAAAATTAATCTTTACCGTTTAATGAGTGAGCTCTTGTACATCAAGTCATCTTAAATTCAATTTGAAAAAGTACACAGCTTTTGGGAGCACTATTATACATCCATATGAATCTTATGTTCTGTATTATATGGATGTGATATATAACACACACACACACACACACACACACACACACACACACACACATAGACTATAGATATAGATATAGATATGTCTCCATCCATGATTCCTGGCTCATAACTCCCAACGTCCTTGTTACAATCTTTTGTTTTCATATTGAGGCACTTCAGGCCTCAGAGGCAGGCCTCAGAAAAAGAATATCTCTCTCAATCTCTGACTTTCTCTTGTCCTCCCCTCACCTGCCCAAGAAAGGACAGTAATCTTTCCCGACCTTTCTGACTGTGGGTCATGAGACCTTCATTTCTGAAGGGATTCTGCCTTATAACTTGGAGGAAGGAATGCTGCACAGAGAAGCCAAGAAGAATCTGGACAGGCCTTGCTGGGTTTCCACACTCAGTCTACTAATATTAGATCATACCCTTTTTGTCCAGTCACAGTAATCCAGAGTTGTCAGTAAAGCCTATTCAATGAAGACTCCATAAACAGCCCAAGAGAGAATAGAGTTTAGAGAGCTTCTGGCTAGCTGAACTTGTGGAGGTTCCTGGGAGATGACATGCCCACAGAGGACATGGAAGCTCTGCACCCTTTCCCCATACTTTGGGCTATGCCTCTCTTCATCAGCATCCTTGGGAATATGCTCTATAATAAACCAGTAAACCTAAGTGTTTCCCTGAGTTCTGTAAGCCACTCTAGCAAATTTTTGAATCCAAAGAGGTGGTCATGGGATCCTGAACTTCAAGCTGGTCGGTCAGAAGTTCCAGAGGCCTGGACTTGCAACTGGTGGGAAGGGCAGGCCAGTCTTGGGGGCTGAGTCTTCAACCTGGGGATCTGATGCTATCTCTAGGTAGATAGTGAAAGAATTGAAATGGAGGACACGCAGCTGGTGTCCCCTGCAAAACTGATTGTTTGCTTGGTGTGTGTGGGAAAACCTCTATACATTTGGTCACAGAAGTCTTCTGTGTTCATTGCTGTTGTTGAATGAGAAAACAAAAAAAACCACAAACTGTGCTTTTTTTTGTTTGTGTTTTTCCACTGACAATGCGCTATTGTATATATTCATCCTGTTTCCCTAATTTAGATGTAAATTAGTAAAAAGTACTGATCATGTCTTATTTCCACCATAAAAATATCCACAGGCTCTTCATATTGTTTGCTTTGTTCTTAACCAAGAAAAAATCTCACCTTGGATGTGATAGAAGTCTGGATCTCACCCCTTTTGATGACTATTTTTAGACAAAGCTTTCTACAGCTACTAGTATCTACTTTCTGTTAGTTTCATTATTGGAATTGCAGAATGTAAAATTTAAAAGCAGTTTCTAAGGATCTACCAGATATTGAACTCTGAGTTTAAAAATGAACTTTACCTCTCTTTAGCCTACTTTTATACTTAGTATAATAAAGGAAGACTGAAGAGGCAGAACTAGGTCCCTTCTGACTCTGGTTCAGTCCAACAGAGATCCGCAAACAGAAAACTCATGTGTGTGTTCCTTCTCCCTATCGGGTGTTAACTGTCTTTACTGCCTTCTCCTATTCAGCATATATTCGATGGTCTATCACTTCAGCCACTTGCTTGCCATAACTTCTTAACTATGTCCCACTACACTTCTATAACACCCACATGGCAAGACCCCAACCCTGGGTCCAACTGCCTACCTTGTGTAATCTCAGCCTTAGGCTGCTGCTGGAAAGGGGACAGAAAAATCACACAACTGAGCAGACGACTATGACCTTAAATTGAATGTCCTCAACCTCACCTGACCCACTGTACAATAATCCTTGTTTCCCTAATTCTCTCTACCAGACTTCAGAGGAGCTACTTCAAACCTTTTACTTGTAAATAACCACATGACTGCTCCTTCTCCTCCTTCAAGGCTTAACCCAAATGTCACCTGCTTAGTACGATTTTCCTGACTAAAATTTTAAAACTACATCCCCTTCCCCTTTATTTTCTGCCATCTAATAAACTATAAATTTTACTTATTTTGCTTATTATCCTTTTCTGCAACTACAATGTAAGATCTATAAGGGCAAGGAGTTTTGCAGGTTTTATTTACTGCTGTGTCCCCATGCCTCCAACAGTGCCTGGCACACAGACTCATTCAAACATCCAGTGAGGAATGAGTTTCCTTTTTCCCAGGAGCAACGTTCTACCCCCTGGGCCATCTTAAACCTCTCACCATAGGCATCTTCCCATTGGGATTTGAACACACGAAAGTCTTCACTGTTTTGAAAAGCTTTGTCTTAATCTCCAACTTTTCCTGTAGCCACCATTCCATTTCCCTTCTCCCCTAGATTGCCAAATTCCTGTGAGAGTTGTCTGTATCTGCTGTCTTCACTCCTTCCTTCTCCAAGTTCTTCTCAATCAACTGCTCTGCCTTTTGCTTCATAGCTTCATGAAATTGCTGTACTCAAGGTCAGTGAACATCACTTTGGGGACACAACCAATCCTGATCTCACTTGGCCTCTCTGCAAGGACATATAAGGGTCACCTAACCCAGATCTGAGGATGAAGGCAGGCTGATATTGCTGCTGACAATTCCTTTCTTCTTGACATACTCCCTTCTCTTAGCTTCCCCATCTTTCCATTTCTCTGTTCCTTCTCTGTTCCCTTTTCAGGTCCTCTTCCTCTGCCTGTCCCTTATGATGTTAGTGTTCTTTAGAGTTCTGTATTGACCTCCCCTTCATTTTTTACCTCCTGGGTGTTCCCATTGCTTCCCTTCTTTTTCAGTTTCCCTCTATAAACTGACAGTTCCTGTAATCTAGGTTAAAGATACAGATCCCTCTACAGAGTGCTAGACCATCCAACCATTTAAAGGACCTCTCTGCTTAGATGCCTCGAACTCACCTCAAACTCCACGACTCCATAGCTGAGCTCATCACTCTGCTACTCCTCTAGCCATCTTTTCTCCTCCCATGTTCCCAGTCTTAATGAAATGATATCAGCTTTACCAGTTTACCCTAGCCAGAAATCTAGAAATCATCTTTGACTTCCCCCTCTTTCTTTTCCTTATTCTCTTATAGCTGAATCAGGGTTTCTAAATCTTGGCACTTCTGATATTTTAGGGACTGCATAAATCTGTTGTGTGTGTGTGTGTGTGTGTGTGTGTGTGTGTGTGTGTCGGAGCAGGGGCTGTCCTGTGCACCATACCATGTTAATAGTAACTCTGGCTTTCATTCATTAGTAAGGTACCAGAAGCAACATCCCACACAAAGTTGTTACAATCAAAAATATCTCAAGACATTGCAAAATGTACCCTGGGAGGGCAAAATTGCCCCCAGTTGAGAATCACTGACCTATATCCACTAACAAGTCCTGCCTGTTTTACCTCCTGAATACCGTTATCTCTTAAGTTGATACACTTTTCATAATCTCCTCTACCACATTCTCATTTCAGGCCATCATCAGGGTAGATTACCCCAATAGCCTCCTAACAGGCCTCCATACCTCCAGACTGGTCTCCTCCAAATCATTCTCCACAACGGTGCCAGAATGACCTTTCAAAGATCAAACCCCTTCCTGTAACCACACAACATCGTCCTCCCAAGCCACCATTAAACATTGTGAAGCTTCACCTTGCTCTTCAGACAAAGACAATATTTCTTCATGTGAATTCCAATACACTTAATAATCTGGCCCCTTGTTTACCTCTCCAGCCTCGTCTGTCACTACTCATCCTCTCAAACTGTATGCACCAGTTAGACAATTTCTGTTAGTTTTTGTATTGCACAAACTGAACCTCTGGGCGCGGTGGAAGTGTCTCCCTACCTGGGACACTATTCTCTCCAACTCCTCATCGGATCAACTGCTACTTATTTTTTCATGTCTCATTTCCTCTGGGAAGCCTTCCCTAACGCCTCAGATCTGGATTAGATGCCTCTCCCACCTGCTTGCAAAATACTGTAGAACCACCTGACCACAGCAGGAGGCGCTGTAATTTGCTACCTCCTCTGTATACATGCCGCCCTTTGCACTGTAAAATCTGGACACAGTCTGTCCCTTATCTTGCTCACCAACCTCTCAAACAAGGTGCTTAGAAGGAATTCTATTTATTTTTAACAAATAAAGGAATGATTACTACAAAAGACACAATCTTTGGAGCTAATTCCCTCAAAAAGTTGTTTCTACATGGACAAGTAGAACGAGCAGAATAAAGTGTGTGCCAGTTACCCGTTTAAAAATATCTGGGCAGTCTTCATGCTCTGAAAATATGCACGCATTCCACCTGACAGTGAACTTCAGAGGCAATTCAGTAATAGTTTGACCTCAGACCCACTCCCTCCAGACTATATTCCGCCAATCTAACTAACAGCTTTTCACAATTATCATGACCTATTTTCTACTAGTTCTCTCATCAGTAACGGTATTAACAGTGTGCAGGATTTCAAATCAGTATCTTTAAGGTGGGCGAGAATCCTTGTAATAAAAGCAGAGGCCGCAAAATGCTCTTTATACCAAGTACCTAAGTACTTGCAAATACAGGCCAAAGTATTCGGCTGTGTCATTCACTCTTTGACCCGGGGACAGCAAAGATACCGTTGGAGCAACAGCCCGTCGGTCCCCTGGCAGAGCGTCTGTGCTGAGCACCCGGCCCCCGCAGAAAGGCCGGGGTGGGCGTATCCCCAACTTCACCAGAGCGGCCCTGCCTCGGCCAGAGGAGGAGCGATCGGGAGCCTCCGCAGCCGGTCCAGCCCGGCGAGGCCTCTCCGCCCGAGCTCCGAGGGACCGCCGGGTCCTCACCCACCCCCGGCCGCGCGTCGCCGCTCACCTCGCAGTGCAGGAGTTCGGTGCCCGGGTCCTGCCGCCCTGCGATCCGGCAGAACACGCAGGTGCCTGTCGTAGTCCTTGGGCTCCGGTGATGTGGCGGCGGCTTCGCAGGTCCCCACAGAGGAAGCTGTGCATTCTGTAGTCTCCGGGGCCGTAAAGTCGGGGGCCAGGCCGGCGCTACCGTTCACCTGTTCATCCGCCATCGCACCCGCCCTCGCAGCCTCCGCGTCCTGCACCTCCTCCGTTTAACCTCGAGGCGTCGCCTCTCGCCTGGCGCTGTGCGGTGAGCCAGGCTGAGGGGAGAGGGAAGGGGACGCGGTGCTGAGCTTCAAAGCCTGAGGCCCGCCTCGAAACCCGCTGCCACTAGAAGGCGCGCGATGGCGCTGCCGAGAGTCGTCCCGCCCCCTGCGCTTCGTTGGTAATGACGCATAACGTCCGCAGAGACGCAGAGCGCGCCGCGCGACGTGGTGACGTCGCCCAGGCGCGGGAGCGTCCGGCCTCATGGAGGGTGCTGCGTATCCTTGGACAGGCTTTCTTCAAATCCCGTAGCGTAGCGTATCCAAATATTGTATTACGCTCCCGTTTAAAAAAAAAAAAGTTTTTAGAAGTTTGATTTTTAAAATTCGTAAGTTTTTAAAGAATGAGGAAAATTCCTAGAGCCTTGTTTTCAACACACATCATGTTTGCTGCATTTTCAACCATGGTAATTATAGGCGTTTTCGCTCCAAATGTCCAAAACTGACCTTTACATCTCTGGAGTTTTTATTGTATTTAACAGCACAGCTAGATCAAAATAGTGACCTTTTACAAAATCTCACATTCATCATATACAAGTAAATGTGGAGTCCTATAGTTAATAGTTTGAAATATCCCTGAAATTCAATGCCAGTGCCTCATAATGCCTCACCTAGACCAATGCAATCACCTATTTCTTGATTTTCCTGTCACTCAGAAAAAAATCTTCAGTAACTATGTGCTTAAAGAAAAAGTACCAGTTTCTTAGCTTGGTGTTCCAGGTGGACTCTGACCTCAGCTTTTCATTTTGTGATTCTTCATTCACACTTGCTGAGCATCTAAAACATGCCATATACTTCTCTAATTGTCAAAACAAGCAAGGTTGGCCTTATAACACCCCTTTTAGAGACGAAGAAACAAATTCAGACTTGCCCAGTCCCACACAACTAATTAATAGTGACAGAGTTTAAGATCAAGATTTGTCTAACTCCAAAACCCACCAACCTTTTGACACACAGAACTCCTTTTTTAACACCAAAAAATTTCTTGGACTAGCTCTCCATAGTAATTTTACCCTTGGTATTTGCTGATTTAGAAAATATGTAACAAACCAATTGGGAATTCAGTGATGATTTTTAATGAATTTATGTAACCATAAAAAGTGGTTTATATGTTTTTGAATTGTTGTACCTATTCATTCAAGACATTTGTAATTCCTTTTTGTAGTTGGCCACTAGTTTATGGAACCATTACAATAGCTTCACTGACCCTCAGCTCCCCAAGGCAGAGTTCAGAATCAATACATTGGACCTTTGCCAAATTTTAGTATTCAGAATTTCCGTGCCTTTACTGCACCATTACACCACTCTGGTTTTATTCACACAGTTCCCTCCAAAATAGTCTTGTTTCCACCTCTTCACTTCAAATTTTACCTTGCCAGGCACCCCTCCAATGCTACCTCCTTCATGAAATTTTCTTTAATTAGCCAAGCTGAAATAAGCACATCCTCTGAAGAATTCATATAACAGGTTCTGTTGTAGAATTTGTCTCTTGGGATCTTCTCTTATCGAAATTTATATATTCTCTTGTAGAATTTGTCTCTTTGTGTCTTATAGCTATTTATGTACATATTTATCCTGCTAGAAATTATGTTTCCTGACAACAAGAATGAGTCTGTGCATCTTCCATAATGCCTAGTACAGTGTTGTGCATGTAGGTAGACATTTAACCATTTTCTAATGAAGAATGGTTAGTAGCAAGGTCACTGCATGAGTGTGTTCAGGTTTCACAATGTGCAAGGTTACCACAGATAAGAGTGTGCTGATTCATATCATACACATATATTAACTTGCAGAAAAGCACAGACAGAGCTGAAGATTCCAGGCTAAGTTCTGGAGCAGTGGAGAAATGATGTGTATATAAACCCCCATTGTGTACATATGGCCACACACACTTAGGAGACCATTCACCTACATACTAGGACACACACCTGCGTAAGTTGTATCTTCTGGCTGCACTCCTAGTGACACCTGGGATTGCTTTCTCACTTACCTGGCCCTTTCCAAGGCTTGCTTCTCATTCCTCAACTTTGAACTTGATATCGTTGCCCACCTTGGAAGTGAGGGGAGGAACATGAAATACTTGAAAATTGTGTAGACGATGTGTTCTTTTTGGAAGTAGGCAGGACTACTGCCAATGGGTATTCTGGATAACCCTCCTGGGGGACAACCATTCCAGTTCCATAACAATATACTAACAAATCTGCTTGTGAAATCAAGTGCTGTTTGCTAATTTCACAGGAGTACCATATGGGAGCAGGAGCCTTGCTTCAGAGCAGGCTCTGGAGTCAGACTACTCTACAACTTACCATCTGTGAAAACGTGGGCTGTTACTTTTCTTTCTCTTCTGAGACACAAATTATCTTCATGTGCTGAGGTTTTCTGTTCGTTCATCTATAAAATGGGGATAATAATGATGCCTAATGCATGATCGTGTTGCAAGTAGAATTATCACAGGATCCTTCAGGTAGCGCTTCGCCACCTGGAAACCTCTGTGGCCAGTGGCCCCTCTGCTTGAGTTTTGCTCGTGCCCACTGGGCTTGTTCCACCCACTCAGAACAGCAGGCTGTGCTCTGCTCTCACAACCGGCCCGGATCCCACGCCTGCCAAAGGCAAGCCAGGTGTGGAGCTGCAAGGGGTGTGTGGGCGAGTTCAGGGTTCTACCACTGCACACAGCCAGGCAGGCTGGCTGCTGCAGTGGGGCAGGCAGCTCCAGGCACCTGCACAGGTGCTGACTCCATATGAGGCTGCGGCTGGATCAGACGTACTGCAAGTGGCTTCTGCTGTAGGCACCAGCATCTGGACATGGGGAACATGGTGGCGCCGGAAAGCTTGGAGACGCCAGGAACCACAGAGCCCCAAAGAGAGCATTATAGTGTGTCACAGCCCTGGCTTAGGGAGCCCGAAGGTCTGCGCTCCAAGAAGGGCCACAGCTCTTCTCTCCTCATCCACTGCAGTGCAGCGAGCAGGGGTTCATGTTTCAGGTGGGGTGTATTTCAGTCCATTTGTGTAAAGGCTCTTTCAGTCCCACTGCCTGCCTTGGTCTGTCTGGCCCATGGCTCCTGGGCTGGCCCCGCCCAGCCACTGCTTCTTGTTGCATGGAGTGGCCACCTGGTGCCAGCAGAGGGCAGGAAGGCTATAGTGTTACAGCTCTGGCACAGGGACTTTCAAGGTCTGGGCCTCCAGAAGGGTTGCTATGCTTCACTCCCACAGCTAGTACTGTGCCACTGCCCCCAGCTCAGCAAGCTGGCCAGGAAAGTGTTGTAGCCCCTTTAGCTCCCACCTGCAGCTCAATGAGCTGGCCAGGAAAGTGTTCCAGTTCCTTTTGCTCCTGCCATTCAGAAGGTCCCAAGTTCTTGTATGGCATCCGGGAAGAATGAGGCCAGGTGGACAACTGGAGGGTGAGCAAGGTAGGAGAAGAGCTTTATTGGGCAATGGAACAGCTTTCAGCAGAGAGACTTGTAGTGGGTAGCTGGCAGTCGAAGCCCCAGCTGGTTTTTCACTGGTTATAAGTTGAGGTTTCACCCAGGACCTGCCCTTTCCCACCTAGAAACCTGTCTGCCTCCTGCCACCATCAGAATGACACATCAAGATATCACCTTGTTTGAAAGTAATTTAGAATATGTATATAAATCTTATCGTTATCAGTAACAAACTCTTAAGAGCCAAATTTGAACATTGCTTTTCCCATCACTCATGAATCTATTTCTCTCCTCCTCTTTGGAACAAAACTCCTCAAAAAAGGTATCTGTTTGCTTCCCAATCTGTCTTCTTTTCTCTCTCGCACTGCCTCCTATTAGACTTTTAGTGCCACCACTTGATCCAAACTACTGTTGTCCTCAGTGACTATATTACTAAATCTAATGGTCACTTCCAAGTCCTTGTCTTTTCTTTTCAGCAACAATTGGTCATGCCCTCTCCCTTGACAAGCTTTTCCTCTCTTGGTTTCCTGGACATCACTTTTTTTTTTTTTTTTTTTTTGGCTTCCCTCCTACTTCACTGGCTGTTCCTTCTGAGATTCCTGTGCTATGGACTCTTGCTCTGTCACCAGGCTGGAGTGCAATGGCGCAATCTCCACTCACGGCAACCTCCTCCCTCCCAGGATCAAGCGATTCTCTTGCCTCAGCCTCCCAAGTAACTGGGACTACAGGTGCCCGCCACCACACCCAGCTAATTTTTTGTATTTTAGTAGAGATGGGGATTTCACCATGTTGGCCAAGATGGTCTTGATCTCCTGACCTTGTGATCCGCCTGCCTCAGCCTCCCAAAGTTCTGGGTTTACAGGCATGAGCCACCACGCCCGCCAGTTTTCTTCTCTTTAGCTACACTCACTTTCTTGGTTGTCTCATGCAGTCCGTGGCTTTAAAGACCAAGTATTTGCCAATAACTCCCACATTTCAATCTCTAGTACAGATCTCTCCCCTGAACTTCAGACTTGAATATCCAACTGTCTATTCAACCACCCCATACACATGTTTAGTAAATGTTATAAATGAGCCTGAATGAGCTCCTATGGGGAGAGCTCCTCTCTCACCTCACCAAAGCCTGCTACCATCTCAGCTGAGGGAAACCATTCTTCCAACTGCTCAGGACAAAAACTTTGAAATCATTCCTGACACTTCTCTTTAACGACTAGCCAATCCATAAAGAAATTCTGTAAAGTACATTTAGGCATTGCTGTTATCACTACTATCACTTTTGACCAAGCCACCATCTCCTCTCACACGAATCATTTTGTCAACCTCCTAATTCGTCTTACTACTTCCAACTTTATCCTCCACCCGCCGTCACTGTCTAGTCTCAGCACAGCAGCTGGGGTGATCCTTTTAAAATGTAAGCCAGATCGTGTCACTTTCCTGCTCAACATCCTCCAATAGTTCCCTAGCCTACGAGAATAAAAGCTAAAGTACTTACCTATGAGGGCCTACAAGTCCCTACCGTGTATGCCACCTGCCCACCCTTTACATTCTGACATCAGCTGCCACCATTTCCATCGCTAACCCTGCTGCAGCAGCACTAGTCTCTTTGTCGTAATTTGTATAGGCCAGGCATGCTCCTGCATTTGAGCTTCTGCAGAGGGCTCCCTCTGGCTGTCCCTCTGCTTGGAACGCTCTTTCTACCACTA